TTTGATTGCATATTTGCTACAATAATCACTGGAAAAGGACAAATTTTATACAAGTGATTTTCTTTTGCAAACACCTTCTCTTTAGTAAAGGTGAGGGTGTGGGTTCTGTTAAAAACGACTTTAAACAAGTAGGAATAGATGGGTCCTTGCTCTACTGGCTTGAAGTTATATGTGTCTTCTGTAGGTATGTTTCTCTTTGTCTCCTCACATATCACACTGAGCAGTCCAATGTGCTTCCTGGAGAGGCAGAAGAGTTCTCTTAGATTGCTGGCTCTCCTGCCCTTGTGGGGCAAACAAGTTGCAAGAAATACAGACTTGCAACTTGCCTGGTGGAAAGCCAGGATGCCAGCATTCTCAAGCATTTTTCTGCCAGTGCTTTTTCAGCACATTTATCATTCCTCTGGACAGACTAATTGGAAAGGAACTGAACTAAAGAAAATAGGAAAGGGCATTGAAAGGTCCCCTGGTTTGGTTTCTTTTAGATCTAAATATCTTTAGAGAGTCACAACTATTTTTCCCAGCATTGTTGAAGAAACAGATGTCAATGGTTATTAATGGACTCTTACAAAGTTAAAAGTATTGGCATGTTCTTGCTCTTAAAGCTCATTTCGTGAGTGAGTGCATTAGTTTTTGATATGCACTCTTCTTATTGAGAGGGCCTTCTTGGCTTCAGGAGCCAAATTTCAATGGAATGTATAATTCCATTTGCCTTTGACCTTTGCTAGTGTCCTTACCTTATTCTCGCTTTCCTAATTTTGTGTTGGGAGGTGTAGATCCCCATTGTAGATCTGCAAACTGATAAAACGTGTTTAATAAAATGTTGATTTGTTATTTTCAGAATGGCTCTTTGCTTTGTTTGCAACAGTAGAAATGATAGGGAAGTGGAGCAGAGGGCACTGATGATCTATTGCCTCCTGACTCACAGGCAAAATACTTTAAAACCAACCCTGAAGGAGAATTAGTTAAAGAGGTTGTTGCCCTTATAGACTGCTTATACTTTTTCTGGATGCATTAGGTTAGCCACTGTGCTACGAAGACTCTGGGCTTAATGGCCATTCAGTTTGATTCAACAAAACTGCCTTTATTTCCTTAACCAATAATGGCTTGGATAAACATAAAGGCAAACATAAATATGTATAATCCTCAACTTAATAATGGCCACAAGTTGTGCAGATCATAAAGCGGGTCACCACCCTAATTTTATGATCTTTTTTGAATCAGTCATTAAGCAGGCCCAATCAATTGGATTTTTTTCTGCTGGAAGCCAAAAGTAAATGTATATTTCTGGCAAAAAAAAAAAAAAAAGTTGTAAATTGTGATCATTTGACTACAGGATGCTGCAAATGGCCATAAATGCAGGCCGGTTGCCAAGTGCCCAAAATGTGATCACATGTCCACTGGAGATGGCAGCCGTCGTAAGCTTGAAACCAGGTTGTAAGTAGCTCTAGGGAGGTGGTGTAACTTTGAACAGTCACTAAGCAACTGGTTGAAAGTTGAGAACTACCCATACCTCAAAGCAGAAGATTCATCCTAAAGAAGGGCTTAGTTTTCAAACCCTGCAGGGTAGTTACACTAGGTTTTTATTTCAACTAGTCAGCAACTTGGAGCACCAAACCAGTTTCATCTCAGTATATGAGAACTGGAACCGGAATACCATTCTCCATCATCAGCCCAAATCAGCTGCCTTCCTCTTCAACTGTTTTCCAATGGCTGTTACGTACTGCAGATCATTTCCACTTAACACCTTTGAACTGATTACATCATCTGCCCACCATTTCTTGAGGTGTTTTCTAGGTCTTTTAAGGTCAGTTGGTATCAGACCAAGGATTATTGCTGCCCAATATGGAACTGTTCATTGTGCAATATACAGTAGTGGAAAAACATAAGCATTTCCTAACCCAAATTAATTGAAGAGGCTAGGTTTCCACACTTGTTTGTTCTATATAAAGAGTTTACTGTATACGCTCAGTCCCAAATTATTGATTTAACCAAACAGTAACTGCTTTTGAATGTTTTATTTTCTTTTGAGATGAAAATTTATACAAATAAAACCAGCAAGATGAAAAGTAAAGGAGCAGGATAGTAATTCTTTCAAAGCTGAATAAATGGGTCAGAAAAAGATACATGCATATAAAATCTGACTTTCCTATTAAGAGTCTCGCATTGGTCCCAAGCAAGCCAGATGCGTACAGATACAGAGTGCAATTACACTTTGTCTTGCCACAGTAAATGCAGGCAGGAGGCTTGTGGGTTTGAATGCCATGAAGACATAATTGAAGCTGAAAGGATTTATTGAGCAAAGCAAAAGAATATGTTTAACCGCAAAGTCTAACATAGGCAATATTTACAGGCATGGCAATATAACAAGGCATGGCAACGATCAATAGAAGAGTGTAAATACTGGGTAAAATCTCATATCCCTGTGGCTACTATGAATCTTTCCTTATCACAACCAATTACAGATGTTTCCATATTATTCCAGCTGTCATACAGTACCTTTCTCAACCAGGCCTACACTGAGGCTCTCTCTAAGCAGATTTCTAAACGCTTATATAATAATAATAATAATAATAATAATAATAATAATAATAATAATAATAATAATATAATAATAATAACTTTATTGTCATTGTATGTGTATACACAGTATACACATACTCCCACCCACCACAATTCCCCACCCCTAAACCACCCAAACATCCACACAACAGACTAAGTAATACTGTCCAACAGCTCACTGATGGTGGCCCTTTAGTTCATTGTTGAGTGCAATTATAGCTCTGGGATAAAAACTATTCAGAAAATTTGTGGTCCGAGTTTTAATTGTTCTGTATCTTCTGCCAGAAGGCAACAGTCCCAAAAGATTGTAAGCAGGATGGGAAGAGTCTCTGACAATGTTATGCAACTTCCTCAAACAGCGAGATTCAAAGATGTTGTCCAGGGCTGGTAGCTGGAGTCCGATAATATTCTGGGCAGTTTTAATGATTCTCTGTAGAGCTTTTTTGTCTGCTACAGAGCTGCTCCCATACCATGCAAGAATGCCGTACGTCAGGACACTCTCAATGGTGCTGCGATAGTAGGACAGAAGTAGATGCTGAGATTTATCTTCCTGAGCATTCTCAGGAAGGACAGCCTCTTCTGTGCCTTCTTCACAAGCATGTTAGCACTCATAGTCCATGAGAGGTCCTCCAAGATATAAGTGCCCAGAAATTTAAAACTACCCATCCTCTCCACCTCCTCACCATTTATGTACAGTAGTAGATGTACATCTCTCTTCCTCCTGAAGTCAATTATAAGTTCTTTAATTTTTGTGGTGTTAAGTGTGAGATTATTTTCATTACACAATGTCAGCCCTTGTACTTCCTTCCTGTAAGCAGACTCATTGTTCTTATTAATGAGCCCCACCACTTTTGTGTCATCCGCAAATTTAATAATTGTGTTGGTGTTATACAGTGGGGTGCAGTCATGCGTATACAAAGAATAAAGGAAAGGGCTTAGCACACAACCCTGGGGGGCTCCTGTGCTTAGTATCAGAGTAGAGGAATGGTGAGATCCCATCCTTACTGACTGTGGCCTACCTATAATACACTGCTGCAAATTGCTCATCCTCCTAATTTGTTGTTTATGTTTTTGGCCTAATGGTTACTGAAAGTGGCAGTGCTAATTCCCACACAGCCAGGTAGCTCGACCTGTAGTGGCAGATCAGCAGATGTGCTAGGCTGCATGAGAAAAGTGACAATTAGGCAAGGATAGGGGAGGACGGAGGTCTGCATATTGTACTTTTTTAAAAAAAAAACTGATAATATCTCGCTGTATTATCCACAAAAATGCAGGAGAGTATTTTAAACAAAAAAAAAGGGAATGAAATTCACCACCTAAACTACTACTTCATGACAAATGGTGCCTTCCTAATAGCAATATCTAATTAGAGAGCAAGTAATCAGATTTCTGTTTTCTGTTGTTCAACTCTTATGTACTGAATTGGGGCAACAAGAAACATATTTTCTTGTAATGAATAATTGCTCTGAGTGTTTACAATGCATGAAATAGACTCTCCAAAATGTTTAAAATCTATTTAATTTTGGGATTTGTCCACTATAATTTTATTTATATTTTAGAAAGAAAACCTATTTAACATAAGAAGTCTTCCTCTGGGAAAAAAAAGTGTTATCAACCTGACACAGCCCGAGGCCTTCAAATGAATGTAGACTGCAACTCCCAGAATTCAATTGGCTGTGCATACTGGGAGTTGTAGTTCAAAAGATCTCAGATTTCTTTCATAATCAAGTAGCAGTTGGAACTATCTCCACCTGTTCAGTCTTTTTCATTATCAGCTTCCTGAATTTGTTTCAAACAATATAGTGACTGGGTTTTCATCTTACATTAAACCCTGTTATAGGTTAGTTTGATTTTGATTAAGCATGCTGTGTGAACCAAATCACTGTATTGTATCAACCACATTTTATACTCTAATATAAACTATTATACAAATCAAATCAGCTATGATTTCTAGTAGACAAAGATGTGTGAATCCAATACATCGCTTGGATGAATTCCTTTAACTTGAAAACTAAACTTATAGAAATTGGGGGTTCACTATCTCCAGAGGCTTTTAACAGGCTGAACTCTATATTCCTATGAATAGTCTAATTGGTTTTCTGTACATTGAAGATAAAGGATTTAGATCAGTGTTTCTCAACCATGGAAGTTCTGTGTTGGCTGGGGAGTTCTAGAAGTTGAAGTCCACACATCTTAAAATTGCTGAGGTTAAGAAACACTGATCCAGATTGTCCTTGTGGCACTTTCCAACTATAATTCTATGACTTTAAAGTCATAGAAAGCAAATAATAATGTGTTTATACCATCTTGGACTATCAGAAGCAACAATGCTGTTATTGACAAGACTTGAAGCTGTTGTGAAAACAAGGGTTAGAAGAAGAGGATATATTATGGTACTGTTATTGACTTTGCCAAATGAAAAAGGTTATCTCAGAAACCAATTGAGAGAACAAACACTATTTTATTGTAACTTGCAAATAAAACTTAAAGTCAACAACTCGCTCATATTTCAATATGAATTAAGTCCGGGCCTAATCCAGGAAGCCAGCAGTCAAAGCAAGGGTGTATTAAGGTTAACTGCACTATTCAATAAAATCATTAACTATCAGGACTGCACTTTTGAATAAAACCATTAGCTAACAGGAAATTGCAAGGTTGGTGAGTGAAGCCCCTTACCTGAACCCCTGCACCTGTTCTACTCATTCTTTCAAGCCAGTATCCATTCCTGAATATTATTATTGATTTTTGGCTGTCATCTCATTTAACTCACCCCTCCTAACTTGAGCCAGATAGAAGTCTCTGACTGAGCAAGCAGATGAAAAGTCAGCCCTGCCACACACATTCCTCAAGCTGTGTGTACATGTATTGCTCTGTTTACATCAGAACATTTGATTTCTGAACAACTAGGCTATGAAGCGTAGATCACAATTAGTATGGGAAGACAAAGATGTATCTACCTGCTGTTCTCACTCCAGAAAGTCTGCTACTTTCAAAAACATTACAGGAGATTGTCTTGTCTTTGTGCTTTCTTGCCCTGCAGAAAAGCAGCTTAAAGGGCATGTCTCCCATGCACAGTCTGACTGGAACTAAAGCTAGCTTAAGAAATCCCTTTCCAGATTTCAATTCCTTCCCCTGCTTTATCCACAGAATGGCCTAGTACCTTGATGGCGAACCTATGGCACGTGTGCCACAGGTGGCACATGGAGCCATATCGGTGGGAACACCAGCATTGCCTTAGTTCAGCTCCAGCACAATGTGCATGCCAGCCAGCTGATTTTTGGGCCCACCGGAAGTCGGCAACTGGGCTGTTTCCAGCCTCAGGAGGGCCTCCGGGGGGTGGGAAGGCCATTTTTGTCCTCCCCATGCTCCTAGAAAGCCTCTGGAGCCTGGGGAGGGCAAAAAATGGGCCTACCGGGCCCACTGTGCCATCGCTTGCCAAAAGCAGGGGGAGCACGGGGGATCACGCGTGCATGTATGGGGGGGTGCATTGAATTATGGGTGTGGGCACACGCATGCGCGACCCGCCCGCACTCCCCCTGCTTTTTGGCACATGACAGCAAAAAGGTTCGCCATCACTGGCCTAGTAATTCCATTCTGGTCCATGTTATTACAAGCCCTAATTGGTGGGATTCCCAACCTTCTTTACTTCTCCTGGACTGAGAAGGAAAGGAGGGACACCATTGTGTTGACATTTTTCCTGTCACTTGAGCTAGAAGGGGAAAAGAACATTTGCCAATTTCATCTGGTTAAATTATACAGTACTATAAGGCAGGTCCATTTCCCACTGTTTCATCAATGTATATATAAATAAAGATTAGTTTTAAAAGGTCCACCTTTCACCACTGACTTGCCAATGAGCTGGAGGCAAGTACAAGATGACATTATGGCTACAGGAAATTCTCAGTAGCTGATCCTACAGATTAGCCCCTTGTTACTAGTGCTAAAGATTTACATGACACATATGGAAAGAAACTGCATTTTCATAACAATATTTTAGGACCATCTATTGATGTCAGGAATGACCTTTTTTTCTTGGATGAGTTCTCGTACTTTTAAACATATATTTGACCAGTATGCATTAAAACTGGGAAATGTTTACTTGGCACACAGATATACAGATCAGTTTGAATCGCAAGAATGATGCCAGAATTGATTAGAAATAGGTCTCTAGTTTGCAGGGATGTGTCCTCTTCCTGCTATTTTGAATATTGTATTTTCCTCTGTTATTGTGTTAAGAAGAAAAGCCGTCAATATGGCCATCAAAAATGAAAGACTCAAGTAACCTGCAGGTTTGCTTGTAAATCATATAGGCAGTGTAGATTACTCTGGTTCCAATATCCTTGCAAGATGTTCCTTAGCCTCTGCATAAAATAGGCTTCATTATTCCGACACCTGAGGAGAAAACAGAAGAGGAGAAATGTGAAGAAAACAGAAGAAGAGACAATACATTAGCCAGACAACTATTTGAAAATCATGAGACAACTACACTCTCTCCTAAACTGGAAGGATGTTTATCATATATAATGGAATATGCCATACAGTATTGCCCATGTACATAGACCCATGGATGTAGTTAACAGGGCTTCTGGCTCATATCAAAGGGTCTCTAGATCTTCCAACCATAAGTTTCTTAAGCCTTTGACTGTCCTAAAGAGAACTTGCTTGATATGCTATCAACATTCACTTTATTCCACTCTCTTGATTTAATTTTTGCAGAGTCAATTAGATTTTGACTTTGACTCCTTTGACTCTTCTCGGTAATTAACCTAACCGGGAGTATGCTAAAGTATGATATAGAAGTTGCTAGACTATGAGTTTGGAAACTCACATTCTAGACCCTTTTCCACAGTTTCCACAAACTCATTGTTTTATTTTAGGCCAGTCACTCTCAGCCCTCACAGCATTTTGTTGGGGGAGAGGAGAAAAATATGCTCTATTTATCACCTTCAGCTCCTGGAGGAAAGACAAAATATAAATCAAATAAATACCTCTCAGAATGAATTGGCTGAATCATAAAGAACTTCTTTCTCTCTACGTATGTGTATGCATCATGTGCATCATATACATCAATTAAGATTCCAGAATTTCTCTTGCTCAACAGGGACTAATTATAATCAATATTGGAACTATAGGAGGAAGTGAAAGACAAATAGTGTACCAGACACAATAGGAAACCGGGAACCCTTTTCAACAATACAGACTACCATTTCATATATGCATAACATTACCATGAGGTCTAGTTCTTCCAACTTAGTTGCAATCTTATTTATTAGGAAGTAAACAACTCATATTTTAATAGAGATATGAGTTACATTTAGTTTCCTAATCAGGTGCCTTCCAAATATTTTGAACCACAAGGAAGGTCTATAGTAATCCATTTCCTCAGGCCTCTTTGGGACAGGTTGAGGGTACTGATCACAGTAAGGATTTTATGATGGCCATAAGTAGCATTTTTAAGATTAAAGAAATGTATGACAGGCAGGCCTACCAATGTAATATCTGAAAACATGATTTTAATGTCATAAACAATATACTTTTGAGGATAAAATGCTGAAGAGTGATAGAAGATCGCAACCTTTCATTTTCATGTGCCAGTATCATAAACACAAATTCTTTCTACATACAAGCAGTGGAAATGGAATGTAGGCACTGGATTGGACTTCTTGTAAAGCATATTTATGACTTACTGCATACAAACTCATCCAGCTGTGGTTTATTCAACAAACCCTTGTTTAACAGTGTATAAACACAGGGAACTCTTAAATTATTTTTAGGTATGAAACTTATGGGGAAAGACTGAAAGTAACTTAAATCAAACAAAGCCAAGTAATTATTGGACACATTTTTCCAATAATTTCAAGCATTTTTCCAATAATTTCAAGCGTCTTTAAGAATAAAACATAAGACAACGCTGAGACTCCAGAGGGCGCCTGACGCTCCAGTCATTCCAGGATCCATGAATGAAAGAAAAGCCTCTCGGTTGCAAAGCTGCCAAATCTGGGCTGCAGAAATCCGGATGTGCGGTAGACTGCAGGTTTACCGTGCGCAAAGGTACACAAAGGTTGAATATTCCTCTGCCCTCCGGTAGCCATACAGATTTTTTTTTTCATCCTTATTCTGATCCGATAGCTCTGCAGAAACAAAAAGGAATGTTTTTTTTAAGTGAAAGCCTTCAATTCTACTTCCAATCCCCGCCCGTGGTACCATTTTAACCCAGTCCTCCTCCTCCTGATGCACAGCGCACAAACGTGCTACACCGCCCCCGCACTCCGGGGCTCTTAAGGCCAACACAGTATGTTATAGTACTATACCAGTGTATTTGGTTCAGGCAGCCAATGAGCTACTGGAGGGAGGGGGCGGTGCTGCGCATGCTCACTGGAGGAAAAGCAGCCGCTCGGGAAGTGGCTTGTAGTACCGGCAAAGGAGGTGGGAGGGTTTAGACGCCGGGCAGTGTGGAGAGTCTAGCTTGCCTTTGCGGTGGTGGCTGAGCCGACGATGGCTGCTTTGTCCGGTCCGGTCCCTGGACCGCGCCGCGGCGGCTGCTCCGTCCACTGGTTCCGACGGGGGTTGCGTCTTCACGACAACCCTGCTTTGCAGGCGGCTCTCCGAGAAGCGACCTCCGTGCGCTGCATTTACATCTTGGACCCCTGGTTCGCTGCGTCCTCCGCGGTGGGCATCAACCGCTGGAGGTGAGTGGAGTCAGGCGGCCGGTACTTCTCCTTGCGCATCCGCCAAGTTGGGTGGGGTGGGGTGGAGGGAATCGAGACCTAGCGGGTCAGGTTGCTCTGCCACCTGCGCGTTACATGACACGAGTGTCACGTTCATGCAGCGCAGCCCCTGCCGAATGGAAAGTTCGTGCGTAACTCAGCCTTCCAGCCTTCCGAGGTCGGTAAAATGAGGACCCAGATTGTTTGAGGGCAATGTTGCTGATGCTGTAAACCGCTTAGAAAGCGGTATACATAAGCCTTAAGTGTTATTGCTGTGACCGATCTGTTAAAATAAGCGCAGTGATTTGAGAGGGGGTCGTGGGTGCATCCTGTGTGGCGCGATTCAATAGGAAAAGGTTAAATGAAATAGGGACAACAGATCTGTCCGCATTGGGTGGAGGGAGGGAAAGAAGTGGGGCGAGTAATTGTTTTATGAACGAGTGAATAATGGACCTTGCTGCCTTATAATTACCCTCCTGCCTCGCCTACTGGTCTCTTTTGACCTTCGCCAACTTCTTGCTCACGTGTTGAGAATCGTGTAGGATGAGCTGAAGAGCCTTGTGGATGATTCGCTTGTGGAGAGCAGCGCGGCGGAGTAAATAACAAGCCCACGCAATATGACACTTCCCCGATCTGCTGCTGTCCAGAGAGGTCAGAGAAGAGGGGTGATATTTGCCCCAGGGGAGAAATGCCTGGCGTCTGGTTCCTGTTGGAAATCAGACATCAGAGGACCAGTAGAATTGGGAACCCTTAACCTGAGTCAAATAAGCTTGAGAGATGGAGGGATCTAATTTTGCTTAGTGTGTTTGAATATGAGAGCTGAGTAGTTCTTTGGTAAGGATGCTTCAGATCTACTTATCCATCCTATCTAGCCTGCCTTTTATTTTGATAAATAACTGAAGGCAATAAAATAAGCTCACAACAACAACAAACCTGTCAGTTGAGTTGGGCTGAGTGACTGGCCCAGCTGGCTTTTATGTCTAAGGCAGAACTAGAACTCACCATTTCCTGGTTTCTAGCCTGCTGCCCTAACCACTAGACCAAACTGGCTCTGTTTTTGGTTTTTGCGTTGAACAGATGGCTTAACTCTGTAGACTAATGGTTCTTGGGCTATAGAACCCTGTGATACTTTAATACTGAATTTCATATAAAGAACGCATGTCTTTTGTCACAGGACATGTTCTTTAGTTTGCCTCAGATATATTTCCCCTTATTCCAGGGGTGCACAAGTTTCTCTTATGCTCAGTATTTCACTGCCATCCATGTTCCACACTCAGCCTCTCAGTCACTACAAAAGCTATAAGTGTACATTTAATTAAAATTAAACACAGTTAATAGGATTATTCCCTAGTCACATATTTAGTATTTTCCTTCCTGCCTGGCTAAAATTAACTTTGATTTTAAAAAACAATATCCAGAATTTTTTAAGGCTGCATATGTCCCTGGATCTTCAGGTTATGCACCTATATTGGTTTCTTAATTTATTGACTTCTAGATGTCAACAGATTTCAAAGTGACACATAAGGAAAGAACAACAATCTGCACGCATGAGAATTATGTTATGAAAGAGCCACACCTGCATTTTCTCAATTATTTACTGATGTGTCTGAATATTTCATCACTGAAGAGGCATCTCAGACCAGAAAAATTGTTTTGAAGAAGCTCTCCTTAAGCCGCTATAACTAAGGCTGAGAAATTCCTCCTATGCTTTTCAAGATACTGTATCTCAAACTAATCTTAAAACTACTTTCTGAAATCTGTGCCATTCTTGCTTTTTTGGTTTTGCTAGCTATGTGGGGTAGTTTCTGGTACTTACAGAAGAAACATCCATATACATATTCAGCTTCTAAATAATGCTATAGCTTTAAGAACTGGTTCCAAAACTGTGGCAAGAAGGGCCAATACTTCAGGAATTGAACTAATACGTCAATTCATATTGCAAATTATTCTGTAGCATAGATATTACCATGGAAGAAGATGAAGTGATTTAAAAGGATCCATACAAGACATAGGAAGGATAAACCATTGATGACCTAAAATAACTGCTGAACAGGATGTGCAGAAGTTAGTTCTATAAGTAGCTTGGAATATTAAAGCTTGTAGTAAGCTTTAATATTCTCCCCCACCCCCCACCCCCATCTGTTCTGTTACTAGCTTTGGGCATGCTTAACTTACCTGCTACTCCTGTTTCTTTGTCCTTAGTAGACTGCATTAAATTATTTTGAGCCACATTTAAGCAGTTCCAGTAAAGAGCCAATTAGGCAGGATATAAATATAGCACATTACTTTTACTTTTTGAGTGTGAACCAGTTAAACGCCATACATAGCTCCTGGGTTAACTTGAATGGTTCTATATCATTTTAGGCTTATAAACAGTTTACTTGGAAATGAATTCTATACACTGATACGTACCCTATTCTAAGCTGGAATAGTTTTGGAAATAATTTCTAGACAGGAATATGGCTTTTCTATATCATAGAATACCACCACATTTTAAAGTCATCTCTCAGTTTTGTACCTATGAAAGTGAGAGATGGAGCAGCAGTAGAAGTCCGTCATCCCATTGCTAACAGTTGTTGTGTGATTTTGCCTTCTTTCTTAAGGATGATTCCTGTTCTACTAGTTCTTTTATTTTCAGTATACTCTTAATTGGGTCTCTACATATGAATTTCTGGGTATAAATGATGGGTTAGCTCTTTCTTACCAGTTTAGTCATTTAGTAGGTAGAACAGGATTATTTTGCATAGAAGAAAATTCTATGTATCCTCAGAGAAGTTGATTTAAAGTTTAAATAGAGAAGGATTTTCTCAGCAAGAAAAATATCATGAGAAACAAATGCCTGACTAACTTCGGGAATAAACAATGAATGTTCATATTTGGGTTATAGAAAGAAGTATAATGACTTGTGCAGGATATAATTAATTGAATTTTTTGTTCAATATTTCATAATTTACTTATCCTTGTCATCCTTGTTGATTTTGAAAAAAAATTAAAACAGGAGAAAGCCAATGCTATAAAATATTGAGTTCTCCAACTATTTCCATTAAAGGAAATAGCTATGAGTGACTACAGGGGGTCATATACTTAAGACCGTCCATTCAGCAACCATTCACAATTATGACAACAAAGGCACATACGAACCCTTCCTGAACTTTCGACCATTGCAGTCAGATGACAAAAATTGGGGCACTGCCAGCACATCCACCTTATGACTATGGCAGCACTACAAGTTCACCACCACCGCAGGCCAGAAGGCCTTGACTGGCTAGGCTTACTGTTATGTGGGCTTTCCTCCTGCCCCATCACATCAGCAGAAGGTTTGGGCTTTCCCTTCTCCATACCACTTCCAGAAGGCTTTGGGCTTTCCCTCAGCCTAACCATGCAAATCCACTTACCTTCATTTTCTATGCACCTGCTATCAAGCATACTGAGCTGATGCAAGGCACAGCTACCGTAGAAAGCTAGTCAATTAAATGTGTCAGAGCTTGGAGGTCTTCTAGTTTAGATCCCTGCTCAAGCAGGAGACCCAATACCATTTCAGACACGTGGTTATCCAGTCTCTTCTTAAAAATCTCCAGTGATGAACCCACAGCTTCTGAAGGCAAGCTGTTAATTGTTCTCACAGTAAGTTTTTCCTTAATTCCAGGTTGCTTCTCTTGATTAGTTTCCATCCATTGTTTCTTGTCCTGCCCTCTGGTGTTTTGGAAAATAAGTTGACCCCCTCTTCCTTGTGACAGCCCCTTAAATACTGGAATACTGCTATCATGTCACCCTAGTCCTTCTTTTCTCTAGACTAGCCATGCCCAATTCCTGCAACCATTTTTCATATGTTTTAGTATCTAAGCCAATGATGGCTAATCTTTTTGCCATTGCGTGCCAGGAGCATGGGGGGAGGAGGGTGGGTCACACGCACGCGTGCCCACACCCATAATTTTATGCACCCTGCGCATGCATGCACGACCCTCCCCACCGCTCCTGGCACGCAATGGCCCGGTGGGCCCGGTAGGCCTGTTTTTCTCTCTCTCCAGGCTCCAGAGCCTTTCTAGGAGCCTGGGGAGGGCAAAAATGTTTCCGGCCTCCGGAGGGCCTCGGGGGAGGGGGAGGCCAGTTTTGCCCTCCCCAGACTTTTTGATGGAAATATAGATTAAGAAAATCTAATGTGATGGACAGATTTTCTGTAGTTAGGAACTACTATGTTATTTAATTAAAAAAGGAAAAAAACATCCTGTGAGAACCATAGTGGGTGTTGATGATACCATTAGATGGAATAAAATAAAACTTTTTGTCATCTTTTTTGATGTCATATTTGGAACTTAAAGAACCAACCAATTACCCCAGGTTTTACAGAAGTTTAAAGAATCTATTTTGACCTAAATTTAAACTGATTTAAACCATTTTAATTTTGGTCTTAGATTAATTCGGGTTTTTAATTTTTTTATATTTTGGAGAGTGGTCTGTGCATATAATTCAAAGACCTAGCGTAGGCTTTCACTGAAAAAAAAATGCACACATATTCTTGTTCTGCTATATGCTGAGATAGTTATCCATTTTAGTATCCTGCCTTCATGGCAGGAGGCAGAGGAGGAGCCCATCAAATAAATGAAAGAGGCCAGACAACTGAATCAATCGATAGCTCTCAACTCTAGGATCATATTCATGTTAACCATATTTTCTAGGTACTAGATGTGTGCATGTATTATTCATTGAAGTACTTTTTATGACATTTTTCAGATTGAGAAACTTCTTACCATGTAAAATACTTGGTTTTCCCTTTCCTTCTACAACTTTTCCCTCTTGAAAAGGTATGGAAAAAGAAGAGGTGTTTGCAAGGGATTCTTAATTGTACCTTGCTAGACAATTTGTAGAAGTGTACAGAGATGACCTTGAAGATGACATTCAACATCTGTTATGTAAACATCAGTTTAGCTTTAAAAGGGAGAAGTGAGTGAACGAATGAGAAAGAAACTCAAGATTGCCCTGCCTTGATTTTCTTTAGAATAATAGAAGAGTAACAGAACCAGTGAGGCTTTCAAGATTTTTTATTATACTTTTCAACTATGAAGCAGTAGTTCTTATAGCATTTATTTTATAACCTTTTTTTAGCTCAAAGGGATGATACAGTTGCTGATTACATTTTGTTTCTTCTCTTTAGGTTTTTGCTCCAGTCTCTGGAAGATTTGGACAACAGTTTAAGAAAACTTAATTCCCGTTTATTTGTAGTACGAGGGCAGCCAACTGATGTTTTTCCAAGACTCTTTAAAGTAAGATTATAACTACATCTGAAAATCCTGTTTGGGTAGAATATTATTTGCTTGTAAAATTTGAAAAATAAATCTAACTTATACTGCTAATACTGATATTTTATTATTTTTGGATTTGAATTAAAATCATGGTATCTATACCTATGTATTTATATATAATAATATGGCTCTTCTATATATGCCAGCTGTTCTCTTTCATGCTTCCATGAATAGAGTGTTTTATGGTTTTTGTGTAGTGGCATTCTAATAAATACCAGTAATAGCCTGGTGGCGCAGCAGACTAATAGCCTGTTATTAACATTCAGCTCCCTGCAATTACTGCAAGTTTGAATCTCCCCAGGCTCAAGGTTGACTCAGCCTTCCATCCTTTCTAAGGTAGGTAAATTGAGGACCCAGTTTGTGGGGGCAATAAGCTGACTTTGTATAAATATACAAAAGTATGAAGGCTATTGCTTAACGCATTGTAAGCCGCCCTGAGTCTCTGGAGAAGGGCGGCATATAAATCAAATTAAAAAAAAAAAAGGATGGGCTTTCAAGGGAGTATATTAGAATGGGTTTTTCTTTTCAAAAAAGAATTATTTTTAAATTTATTTTTAAAATAGTAAATACTAAACATTTAATATTTTATGAAACAGAGTTAAAAGGTTTTTTCTTATTAAATTAACAGCTCTTTTGATAATCTTTCAAATATTCATTCTGCCTAACATAAGTACTTCGTTTTTATTTTAGCACATACTGTAGATACAGTTTGCCTAAATATTTGACCTTTCAGTTATGTTATTTTTGTGATGGGGCTAGGCAAAATCATAAGAACAGAAGAAGGAGTAGGATGGAAAAGGAATGAAAAATTGCCTAAGTGCATATATACACAGTTGTATAAACTACCAGATGTTTTTGTCTTAAAAGCCTAGGAGCAAATATTTTTAATAACATTGCAATAGTAACAGGTTGGAAATGAGCCCAGAATTCACTCCCTTCTTCTTTCCTAGTATGCTTCTGATATAGAATTTGAAAATTTTCCAACAGTAATGGATTTATAAACTGTAAATCTGGGTAATGTTAGCTATGATTGCTTAACTCTCTCAAGCCTTCAGGGATGCTGCATACAGTACTTTTCAGTGATGAATGCTGACTTGTGTTTTATTCTCCTTCCATTAGAAAAAAGCTTCTTCGTTTATTAAGTTACAAAGGATCTAATTCATTCTTATTATATGGCAAAGTAAAATATATTAGGGTTTATAGGTATGTTCTGGATAATTGCTCCCATCAAACTAGCTAACATTACATGCTATCAGAAATGATGGTGATTTAAGATCTCTAGAGAAACCATGTTGCCTCTTTCAGTGGCAAACTAATTCAGATCCCTTCTGTGGCATGTTATATCTGAAAATAGGTATGGGTATCATATGTACTGTAAATCCTTGATTTAATGGACTACGAGAGGAAGCGGTGTCTGTTAAAGACAGAACATTCATTAAATCTGAGTGGGTTTTTACACACGTAGAAAATGGGAATCACATTTTACACAAGTATATTGTGAACTTTTTGCATTTTATACATTACTTGTATGCATGGATGGCAAAAGGGAGATTTTACACATAGAGCTGTATGTGAGATTTATACACGCATAAAATGGTAGGTGAAATTTTTGCAGATATGATATGGTGCATGGCAAAGCCATATATCATGGGAGAAATCTATGTGGTTGATCAGAGCCATACAGTGTATGGACAAATTCTATCCGTTGGATCCAAAGACTGCTGAATTTATATCTTTTAAATTGAGGATTTAGTGTTTTGCAAAAGTAGAAAAATTGACTCATAACTTTTTCTGAAAAATACTTTTTCCTACTAGTCTTTCTCTATATCAGGGGTGTCAAACTCACATCGTCACGGTGGCGTCACATGACGTATTGGGACTTTTCCCCCCTTCGCTAAACTGGGCATGGCCAGCGCATAATGCATCCGGCCTGTGGGCCGGGAGTTTGACAGCCCTGCTCTATATAATAAAAGGAGTTCATTGGAAAAGGATTTCATTTTAAGAGCTGTTGCTTCTCCGTTTTTCTAATTTTAATACTGGTGTTCACTCTTATAGTTGCAAACTTGCCACACTATTTCTTATTCTTAATATACTTGGGGAGGTGGGGATAGAATAGGATTAAGCCATTCAGATTAACTTCAATATTTACCCTGACATCAATATTTTTGGTTCCAGTTTTGCTTTTTTATGTTTTGTCTTACAGAGTTTTCTTATAGCCCAGTAGGAAATTTAACTTAACATTGTGACATACATACTCCAATAATTGTTGGTTAGGCTTTTTTTCAAATTTGTTGCTGAAATATTCCCTGTTTTGTTAAATGAATAGTTCAGTATTATTAAACTTTAATTCTGGCTGAGATTATAAAAGATTATTTTGGTCCCCAGTAATAGAAAAAGGGGCTTTAATGATGCCATTTGTTTGATTAAGAAACATGTAAATGAGTGGGTTAAAGATTTAGATCATCCTTTTTCCTTACTCATTGACTAAAATTTTAACTTTCAGTAAATACATTGTTCTTGTACTGAATTGTATCTGCGGACTAGATACAATGTAATATATCCAGGACACTTAAAATATTATCTTGCATGCATGCTTATCTATTTATATTATATGAAGAAATTGAAAGAAGTGTAATTACATTTGGTCTCCCAGCCTTTTCCCTTGTATCCTTCCTTGCTTCCTGCGAGGATGTAAAGGTGTTAATTAGAAGGTTAATTATAATTCTAATCATATTTAATTTGTATCTCAAATTATTGTATTTTATTCCGATTTCATTTTAGATCGTATTTTATTCTAATTTCATTTTAAATTGTGCGTTATTCCAATTTCATTTAAATTGTTTTACCAAACTTTTGTAATTTTTTTTTTTTCTGGAACTCTGCACTTTGATATGGCCCAAGGGCTAATCAATAAATAAAAGATTAATTAGAAGGCAACACACATGCCAACTATTCCTCATCTGTGATTGCAGCTGTTTAATTGAATATGTGTACTTACTTCACAGAGCTTCGTTAGGGCAAATTGTAGATATGTATGTGTGCATCACCATAAAATGTATTTCCATTGTTTGGTCTCCACAGGAATCAAAGCAATGTTCCTGTTGTTTCTTTAGAGTATTTGTGTACATTAAAGGCATGCAGAGCTGAGAAGGTGAAGATATTAGTATATATTCGAAAAGTGTGGAGGGGTTTTTTCCCTTTGGATAAAGACTTACATGCACTTTGCTGTTCGGGCTAATGTTTTTGAGCACTGAAATGTTCCAAAAAGTTAGAAGGGGCTGTAAACGTTCTTGAAATCTTTTATCTTGCTTTTGAATGTTCTAGAACAGTATTTCTCAGCCTTATAAATCAATACTGTATAGTTAATGCTTTAGAGTAGTTTCTCTAACTCCCCCCACAAGCTGGCTAGGAAATTCTTGGAGTTGAAGTCCACACATCTTAAAGTTGCCAAGGCTGAGAAGTATAATAAACTTCAGTCTATCACATTTGGTTCAAGCTGCAATTTCCAAATTGGCTTTTGGTGCAGGTTCACATAAATGCATTGCAAAAAGCATTCTTCATTTCCAAAGCATCCCAGACTGGAATGCAAAGACAGGAATAATTTTAACAAGTGAGTAGTTACTACTGGACAAACATAATCCAGGCAGTTGTTATCTCAGTTTTCAGTTACAAAAGTGGATCTAAGACTATCCTTTTTTATGTGTACTGTTTAGATGTGCCCATCTAAAAATAATCAGATTATTTCTCATTTAGGTACCCTCTAGTTACTCTTGTTTTGTAAGCATTTCATCTCATTATCTGGCTTAATAGTGGCCAAGGCAGAGGTCCAATATCAGCACAGTCTCATCTGACTCTTACAGGAAGAAATAGAACTGAATGTAATTAATCTACTTATCGTGCCTCAATTGAACTTCTTTGTGATTTTACCTGGTGGCTTCATAAATAGCATGGGGGATGGAATGCAATCTTATATCACTTCATGGCTCAGCGCTATAGGATCAACTCATTATGTAGGACAACATCCATTTAATACCATGCTTCCAACTTCAGCCCAGAGAAATCCAAAAAGATATCTTGATTGAAATAAAAAGGTAGACAATTCAGAAAAATCAATAAGGTTGGGTTTTCTTTGTCTATCTCCCAAAGTGGTCCTCCATTTTAGCAGAGATTATTTTAACCCAACCATTCTTCTAAGAACATAGGAAACTGGCCAACCATCAGTGGAAGAAATTGAACAGGTGATCTTTATTTCAGAAATGCTGATGAGATACGTGTCTTATGTGTCTGATGAGCCTTCTGTGTCTTGTTGCTTGCTATATTTCAGAGACAGGCAATCACTGATACTTCAGATATTGTTAGATGCATTTGCCAGCCAACATGGCCAGCATTCAAGGATAATAAGAAATGGAATAGAGCTCCTCTCTAGAAAACCACATGTTGCTTATCTTTACTTGTTGGTGCAAAGAACTGCATGGTTAACATTGCTTATTTATTTATTTATTTGTTTATTTATTTATATTATTTATTTATTGGATTTCTATGACTAACTAATCTCACTCTTTTTACTGATACAGAAACTCTGGGCAGCTTACAATATAATAAAAGTTTAAAAATGCAAAGAACAAAGTAGAATAAAAAGTTTAAAATTAAAATTAAAAACCGAGATGATGGACAATCTTCTGTATCCTGTCAGTTGCCCCCAATGCAATGGACTTCTATTGGGGGCACAGGCCAAGCGGCTGTTATTAGTTGATAATAGCTATATTACTCAATGCTTAATACATGTTGATAAGATGAACTTATAGAGAGGAACCTAATAAACTACTACCATGGATTTTTGTTGCTAAGCTTGAAACGGGAATCTTACAATAATTGTTTGGAACTGGAAGACAATGACTTCTTTTTTTCTCCTCAGCTTTTTTCAGAAAGCTAAAAGACCCCACATTTATGGGTAGTTGACAGTCTCAGAGATGCTTTCATGCTCTATAGCATGAAATAGTATAGTATAATAGATATACTTTAATAGTATCTATTACAGTATTGGAAGCATCCTTTGGGAGCATTTAATGGCTTAAGGAGGCCGTTTTTTAAAACTTCCCCCATTATTTTTCTTTTTATTTGTGAGTAGGCAGGTTCATCATTATATGATTCAGCTTTCCTCAACCATTGGTTTAATAATCTCACATACACTAACTGAATTTATTTTCTTTTAGTCAGAGGTGTAGAGTGGAGCCCCTACTCTCTGTTAACCCTCTTATGTTTGGGCTGGTGTGTGGCGCTAAATACTTCATCAATAGCCCTGGATTCATTTAGAAATAAAATCTTCTGGCTTGCCTTTAAGAGATAACATGGACTGTGTTAGTGATACTGGAAAGACACCTGTCCCCATCATCAATCTGCACCAGGTAGATCAGGGACAGACAAGCTGCTATCCTTCCAATGTTCCAGATATTACCTATCAGCTAAAGGTAGAGGTATGGCTAGAGGTATTGTGGAACCTGTAGTACAAAAAAGAACTAGGTTGCTTAACCCTGAGGCAGGAGTGAAATCCAGCAGGTTCTGACAGGTTCTGGAGAACTGATAGTGGAAATTTTGAATAGTTCAGAGAACCAGCAAAAACTGGCCCCAGAGTGGGGCGGGAATGGAGATTTTGCAGTATCCTTCCCCTGCCATGCCCACCAAGCCACACCAAGCCCACCAAGCCATGCCCACAGAACCAGTAGTAAAAAAAATTTGGATTTCACCACTGCCCTGAGGCATGTATGTGTTTGAGTTGAGTTGGGCTGAGATGGGCTAGGGCAAGTTATTTTTTACATGGCTAGAGGTATTGTGGAACCTGTAGTACTCCTATGCTTCCAAGTTTCCATATATCTTACACACTTGCTGAAGATCTTTTGGTCATTTTAATTTATTGACTTCTACATTTTTATGGAAGGGCCCTCCACTATATAGAAACTACTATTGCTACTTTCATTTAAATAGGCACTTTTGCTTTAAAATGAAGTTTGTTCTTAGAGAGAATGCTAACATCAATATTCACCATTTCTTTAAACTGACTGCACACATGGAGACCTCAGAACTTTATAAAATTCCCTAAAGTCTTTGGTGCATCTCTCAGACTTCTGTTAAAGTTGCTGTTAAACTTTAATGTTCAATGTGACGTGAGAAATTGATGCATGAGGAAAACCTGAGAAAGGTGGTCAGAAATGTTTAAAGGGGTTATACAGTATGTCACCCAAGGGATTGTCTAGAATGTATAAAAGTACTTCAAACTTATATTGGAAATATGAACAAGAAGAAGGAAGAAGATGTTTGGTGGGCATATGAAAAAGCTAGAAAATTTTGCATTCAAATAAATGTACTGATTCGGAGGATTTTAAAAATTGATATAGAAATGAAATTAGAGGTCTTTCTTTTGTGATGGACAAACAGTTGGGAAAAAAGTCATAGTACTTTGTTTTAGCACATAACTGCAGTGAGATTATTGTATGCACAAAGATGGAAAGATTCAGCAATACTCACAATGGAGAAATGATTGTTGAAGATGAAGGAATCTGCTAAGATGGCTAAATCAACTTCTTTGATTTGAGAAAAGTCAATGTTCATAAACCCCTTATGGACTTTTTGCGTAAAACAGAAAAAAATGAACTTAAGATTTATGGTTTTGATGATTAAACATCTAAATCTTTATAGATGATCATAGAAAGAAGAGAGTTAAGTTGTAAGAGTAAGAAGTAAATATATAATTGTACTTATAACTGCTGCAAAGATTATTGGAAGCTACTTCTTTTTTTCTTTTTTCATTCTTTTCTACTTTACTTCCCCCCCCTTTCTTGCACTTTTAGATTTCTCTTTGATAGTTTTCTTTTTCTTACTTTATATACGTTTGCATTAGTTTTTATTTTCTTTTTAAAAAATCTTTAATAAAAAAATATAAAAAAGAAGCAAAAAGTGTCATGGGAGAATTTTGGAGAAAAAAAAACCATGCTATTTCCAAATCTTTAGAAAAGGATTTTCTCCCCTTGTTCTACGTTTGGATTTTTGTCATTATTTTGTTTTGAATATTACCACCATATTTTAATGATCTACATTGGTATTTATCTGATATTTTCTGCTTTTTTTACAGGAATGGGGGGTGACCCATCTCACTTTTGAATATGACTCAGAGCCTTTTGGAAAAGAGAGAGATGCAGCTATAGTGAAATTGGCTAAGGAAGCAGGAGTAGAAGTGACAACAGAGAATTCACACACCCTTTATGACCTAGATAGGTAAGACACCAGTCTCTTTATATGAACGTCTAAGGGGAAGACAAAACAAAATTGAGGATTGGTACAGGAGATGACTTGGGAGACTATTTTTTTGTAAAATGGGTCAGGGTTTCATTTTCTCTGTTATGGTCCTATAGATACAGAAGTTACCAGTTTGCATATATAGCAAACTCCTGTATTCTGAGAAAGATGGGAAAGGAATAAGGAGAAATTAATTTTATATTTATACAATGCAAACTAAGTATGTTATGTCTGCAAATACTAGAACTAGAAGTTATACCTACTGCAAATTTGCAATCTACTAAAGTCCAGGCATCTACTGTTGCTATTGGAAAAATATGCCTTTTCTATTAAAGAATAGTGGATGCTGATGGCCTCCTGCCATGTTCAATCTGATCCATCTTAAAGTATTCTTCACTTAAACTGCAATTAATGTTCCATATCCTGTACTTCATAACTGCCAACTCCCTAGTAAACCAAACTGTTTAATAGTGTCAGTTTGGGCCATCTCTGGGTCAGTATCCAAGGTATTAATAGTGTCATCAATAGACAACGTGGGAAAATCTCTCCATGAGTTCAGGAAAACATCCATATCCATCAGGTGCCAGGAATTGACCTTTTTAATCAATTTTTCAGACCTGTAGTTTATACAGAGAATGATCTGTTCATAGAAGCGGAGTCATATGAAACTCCTCCATTTCCAAAGCACTAGCTCCACTTGAATAGAATACTAAATTCAACATAAGCTGTATTGAATGCGAGAGACCACATATTAGTCTTGTCAAGTCCAGTTAGGGAGGATGTGCAATCCTGAGTCATTCCTGACTGGACAGCCTTACCTTCAGTATTGAAAACCCCAAGAAAAAGGAGCTCAAATTAATCCAGATATCATGCTGCAAATCATTCAAACTAGCTCATGAAGAAAGATAGCAGGGTCTATGGTGGTAGATAGCATGGTTTATGGTGTACGAATCATATATCTATATTGTCTTGGCCATCCAGATGTAGCAGTTGAAATTGCAGGCTATTGGATAGAGCGGCTGGTCCACAAGATGGAATTCCTGTAGACTATGGCTTGTCTACCTTCCTCTCTTTAATTCCAGCCTGCTCTATGTGAACAGTCTACTGGAACACAAACACATCTATAGTTCAATAGGAAGATATATGAAGTAATGTTGTTGCCTGTGCCAGTTTTCAAACTTGAAATGCGTGTGGAAAAGACAAGCCGAAGTAATCCAGCGATTAGATACATCATAGAATAGTGGAGAATTGGATTGGAGTCAAGAGCCAAGCCCAGCCATCTGCGTCATCCAGTAGCTGGTTGATATCAGAAGACAAAACTTTATGGAGCAGAGCTAGCAGCAACATGTTCATTTATTCTCTGCTCCCAATATTTTCATTTCTCTGGGATAGAAAACTGGCACAAACAAACGATGCAGGGCGGCTCCAACTGGTGCTCATTTGGCTTGAATCTACCACCACCACCAGCACCCTGCCTTGGGAATGATGTGCACCAAATAAATCTGTAGGAACGCCTCAGGTCTTGCATAATGAGAGGCCAGAGTTGAAACAGAACTGATCCTGTCAGCTTTCTTGCAGAATCATTGGCAGGGTCAAGTTTGTGCTGGCTGACTAGAGGTAAATTTTCCAGAAATTTAGAAGCAGCATAAAGTCAGAAATTGGGAGAATTTGCTGAATGAACATAGCAATCCCTCCTTCTGTTCCCACCCCCCACCCCCCAACAATACCACACTGGTGAGAACACACTTAGAATACTACATCCAGTTCTGATCATCACAATACAAAAAAGATGTTGAGAGCCTGGAAAGTGTGCGGAGAAGAGCAACAACAATATAAAAAGTTTGGAGGCTAAATCGTATGATGAATGGTTGAGGGAGCTAGATACATCTAGCCCAGTGATGGCGACGGTTTCACGGAAACATCGCGCTCGCGTGCTTGTTGGGGCCGCACTCTGGAAAAGCCAAACTTCCAGGTTCTGGCGTGCATGTACACCGGGCAATCAGCTGGCCGACGCACATGCACACACTAGTTTTCAGCACTGCTGCGCGCATGGACAGCTGATTGTCATGCACGCATGCACACCAGAAACCCGGAAGACAAACAGGCAAGGCCATGCATGCCGGGTGACATGGCTTTGCGTGCCACTTTGGGTACGTATGCCATAGGTTCGCCATCACGGATCTAGCCTATTGAAAAGAAGGATTGGGGAGTGGGGACATCATAACTGTCTTCCAGTATTTGAGGAGCTGTCACAGAGGAGATTGACTTATTCTACAAAGCACCAGAAGGCAGTACAAGAACTAATGGGTGGAAGTTTGTCAAAAAGAGATCCAGTCTAGAAGTAAGGAGATATTTTCTGACAGAACAATTAATCAATGGAATATTTTGCTTCCTGGAGTTGTGGGTGTGCCATTACTGGAGGTTTTCAAAAAATAGACTGGGGAACCATTTGGGATGGTATAAAACTGCCTTGAGCAGGAAGTTGGACTAGAAGATCTCCAAGGTCTCTTCCAGGACTATGATTCTATGTTCTAAAACCCCTTCAAAAGTAGACTAGGCTAAGGGAGAATGACTGGCACAGAATCAGCTAGCAAGCTTCCATGGCAGAGGGTGGATCAGAATCCCACTCCTTGTCTAACATCTTAACACTACACCATAAACATTATTGTAGCATCATATAAATGTTACAATCAGCATAGCAAAATGCTGAATTGTTGAGGAATTAGAACACATCATGATTTCTGTCTGTTCAGGAAAAGCAGACAGGCAAAGGATTAACACTGAAAACAGAAGAAACCAACCCTACTTTGCATGAAGGTCTCCACTTATTCAAACAGTAAGGCAGAGTATGAATTTTCAGCGGGAAATGGTTGAGAAAAAGTGGGTAGATGGATGGGGAGAAAGATGCATATTTTAGCACATTGAGACAGACTTAATTGTTTACATATTAGTTTATTTCTTGATTTCATAGGTTGAAAACATTCTTTCACCATTGTTCTAGGTATCATTCAAAATGAAAGTTTTAGGAAGCCCTTTTTATTTTTCAGGAGAAAATAAAAATACACATTTTTCTTTCTATTTCTTAATGATTTTTAATTTCTTTTTAAGGGAAGGATTAATCTAGAAAGCAAGACCCTCAATTGATGCAGATTAGGCCTGCATAGCTCTTGAAATGATCTATTTTGTGCAATTAAAGAGAATTTTTTTTTTAAGTTTTGCAGACCACAATACTAAAATTGTGCAGGGCTGTAAGCCATCTCATAGTTTATCACACTTCTGGCTTATAAAGTATTGCTGTCTAAATATTGGATTCCCTCCAAGATGGGCTGTCTGGAAAATTTCTATCTTGGTGGTCATTGAGAATAGCAATCCCTTACCAGTATTAAATGTTAATCAGTTAAGAAGCTGCTTAGAATGCAGCTTTGAAACCTGTAATCAAATAAGCCTTGTACTGTTTCATTGTAGGGTTTCTGTGGATGAAGCAACATATTGCAAATAATTGGGGGGGAAACAGTTGTGAGCTTTTCTTTCTTCAGCTGTAGAAGTTTTTGTATCCCTTTGAAAATGGGAAATGCTTATATTGTTTGAACTACCTGTCTATTTTTAGCTTTTTCCTCCTAGAGCATATTTGCTCTTGTAAAAAGAGAAACTTTTTCCTAGAGTTCTAATTTTTAGAATTGCTTGGGTATCCCAGCAAAGTTTGTTTTTCATAGTCCATCATAGTAAAATTGAACAACTACAGCTGAAAGAGGCTTCCCTAAAGACTCCTATTGAGCAGGGCTTTGACTTTACGTTTTCATGATCAATATGCTGGCAATTGCAGAAACTAGAACATGCTCTTTAACCTGGTTTCTCGTTTGTATTCAATAGCCACACCATTGCTCTATAATGCACTTAATGCTCGTTTTTGTAGATTGCTTTTAGCTTTGTTATTTAAAGAGGGATTGACATTTGGGTTGAAAGACACGGTCCCTTTGTGGATGCTCTGCATTGTTAGAAAGTTGGGTCACAAAGCCACGCATGTGAGCGTAGCTCATTGAAAAGGCTAAGCAACGTGGAGCTCCTCCCCATCACACGTGCCGCCCTGGAGGAAAGTCAGGCACATGTCTGGATTGAAAGCGCCGTTTGCATAAATGGGTGACAAGGAGGATTGGATGCAGGGGCTGGGCAGAAAGCTGTTTGGCTGCTTCAGATTTTATATAAGACGGCAGCTTCATTCTTGTTTAACACTTTCTTTTCTGACCTGTTTTTTTTTTTTTCTTTTAAGCTTTCTTGTTTTGCTTTGTTGTGCTGTATTTTATTCTGGAGTTTGTTACAGATCTGTTGCTTCAGTGCAAAACATTTATCCTTAGAACTGGATCAGGAATTGAGGATTTGAAGATGATTGCATTTGAAAACCTAGCAGTGACGTCAAAAATTCATCCTTTGGTTAAATGGGTGACAGGATTTCCTATTAGGAGCAAAAATTGTAAACTACGTAGAGAATTCTTTGATGCAGTTCCCCACGCTTTTGACACTTCCCTATTTATACAGGAATTTTTTTCCCCCAGTTCTGCTATTCCAGTTTGAACTATGTAAAGATAGTTTTGTGTTTCATACAAGCAGGGGCAACCAAATCACTAGACTCCTGAAACTTAGAATGCTAGTCAAAGAATATATAAGTTATTGCAGATTTAGTTTCAGTACATTGCTCATTGTATCTTTTTTATTCTTGGTTTTGAGCTATTGTACTGGTTTTCAAGAAGTGGTAGAATTTTTAGTACGTGGAAATGTAGATTTAATTGTTTAATTGGGGGGCAGCAATACCTTGTCAATCCAGTTTCCATGAAATATGAAATGATGACATGCTGAATTAGGGCATTCAAAAAATAAAATCAAATAATGACATCATTTAGTGTGATGAAATAAATTTAAGGTAAATTTAAAGTCCAGATTTCTTCAGCAGCAAACTAAATGGAAGTCTCTTATTTAAATATTAAACGTATCTAATATTAGTAAAATGCATTTGAGTTTCAGACAATAGACACTATACTGCTCCTCGTATGAGTATTTTCAATGGAACAGTCTTATACTCAGTACAGTACATTACAGGATTTATAATAAATGTGGTAATATATATGCATAGCACCCAAAGAGTGTAAACTATAGATTATAAAGTCCTGGAAATAAAACACATATCCCCAAGCAAACCCCTCAAACCACAGATGATGACAAAAACAGTTTTGCTTTTCTCTCTTTCTGTAGTTCATATACATACTGGCATTAGAAATATTTATAAAGGTGCTACCTCTTGGGAATAAGGGTATGGAGGGGGTGGACTGTAACCCTTTACATCTAGATTGGGAGGAAGAGAAACACATGGAACCCATTCTGGTTTTTTTAGCTCAACCCAAATAAAATTTAAAAATCAGATGCAGATCCAATTTTTAAAGTGTTATTTTAAGGTTCACAAAGTTATTTGAATTATTCATGATCACATATAAATAGTACTTCCTTAAAAAAATACCCTAAAAATATCTTTCTGCTATTTTTAACGAATTTAGCTGCTGCCTTCATAGACGCTGGTTTAGCTTCTTTTCAATGTGTTATACAATACTTGAAACTTTTTTTTTCCAAAAAAGAAACAATATAAATGTACAGTCAAAAGTCCTTGAATACACTGCATAATGTTGAGGGAGAGGAGATATACACTCCAAGACGTTTCTTGCTTTGTGTTTAATAAAAGCTGACATTGTAAACTTTTCACCATTCCTGTTTTAATTCCCTGAGTCAAACACCAAATACATAGATAAAGTCATGCCAGTCTCAACTTTCATAGAGTTGAGAATGAGAATGGTTCTGTAGGAATTCTGGATTCACCTTGATTTGCTTCTACAATCCGAGCTACTTCTGGCAAAGTAGCTTTGATTTCTTTGCCCTGGGTAGACCTTTGTGATCTTCCAATTTTACTTCTGTGAATACTTTATTTTGTATTATAAATCAATGTTGATATTCTACCTCTTATTCTGTTAGTTCTGATTCTGGATGTTGTTTTTTCCAAAACTGCTGCATTTTTGGTTATCCTTTTCTCATTAGACTGGATCTGTAATAGCAAATAAGCAAATAATAGAAAACAAATTTCTAAACAAAACTGTTCTTTCATTTTTTTCTTTATCCTGCAGGATTATTGAGCTGAATGGACACAAACCACCCCTCACTTACAAACGTTTTCAGGCCATCATTAGTCGCATGGACCTGCCGAAAAAGCCAGTCAGCACCATAACAAGCCAACAAATGGAGATGTGCAAGACAGAGATCCAAGAGAACCACGATGAAACCTATAGAGTACCATCTCTAGAGGAACTAGGTAATTTTGGTGGGTTTGGAACACTTCCTAGATGGGCTGAAGTGCCTTCCATATTTAATCTGATCTTGTTTTGGTTTCAAAGCAATCTTTGCATTATCTATACATTCTGAAGTTTAGAAAATGAACTGAACAGCTGTCCATTGATTAATTGATTATATGCCATGAGATATAATCAGTGTTAACTCTTGCATGGATAGCCCTTTTCCAGGATGATCTGTCTCTAACCCATCCCTTCAGGTCTTCAAGTGGTGCCCATATTATTCTGTTCATTCATTCATTCTGTTTATATAGCCACTCATCTCACTTTTCTGCAATTATAGACAGCTACATGAATATCCTCCATTAGGTCATCACAATTATTCGTGTTGAGCAAAGAGTAAAAAAACTCCATTATACTCTACTCTACTCTACATTATATTATATTTGTAATATTATATTTTATTATACATTTTAATAATTCAGTGACTAGACATTGTTTTTATATAATTGAGCAAAACAGTGTTTATTAGTGATTTTTTTATCCCAGCATTCAAAAGAAGGCTTGAGAAATTTGCAACAGAAAATAAATATATAATAAAATGACAGTGACAAACGGAATAATATCTTAAACCCAGAATTGTGTGAAAGTGCAGCATAATTTTTAGGTAGCAGTGAAAAATGAATAAATTGATAGGTCAGGGGAAATAAAATATAAGCAGTATTTGCAATTAAGTTTAGTATGCAATGTTTAAAACAATTTTGTGTTGCTCTGATTTCCATTTTGTGATTATATAACATTTCAAAAAACTTTTAATATTACTATGTTCCCCAGTTGATAAAACTTTATTTAGGAAGCCAGAAGTTTCTAGCGTGTTTGACTGGCTTTAACTATCATTCCTTTTTATTTGAAATTCACAAGGTAGTTAATTTTCTGCTAATCTTTTGACCATAGTCCAAAAAATGATATGGTTCAGCAACCATTGCTGTTATTAATAAAATCTTCTCTTAAGTTTTATTAACTTTCCATTATATTTGGATCTATAGAAATGTTGAGAATAGAATGCCATACAGTATAATATTATATCGCAATCAGCAGATGGTTAAAATGTATTCTCTGATTATAAAGTAGCTTCTGATGTATGTTATTCTAGTTATAAACGCATTTATATTTTATCCTATTTCTTTAAAGTTACATCATAATTTCCTTCTTTTCATTTCTAATTCTAATTCCAATTCTAATCCTTTTCTAATCTTCCAAGCCATAAATCACAAGTACATTTTTCTCTTTTTCCAGTCACTGATAAATGTAGCTGTTGATCTTTCTGGAAACAAACAAATTAATTTTCCCTCTCTGCTAGGTATTTTCTAATTGGCTGTTCATTAATCCAGCAAAAAAAGATTTGGTTTCAGTTGAAAGTTGATCTTTAAAATTATTTTTATTATTGTATGTATTTGCACCCAGATAATTTCTGGCTATTTTTGCAGTCCTTAGTTACCATTATTAAATCAGGACTTTCTATGGGACTGTTGCCATTTTGATTCGTAACCCCCTATCTTTTTTTCAATAAGAGCTTTTTTAAAAACCCTATAATAAAAGGATTTTCAAAAAGAGCAAGATATTTCTCTGTTTTAATAGCATAAGCTGCAGCTTCTGCATTCATGTATCAGATGAGGGGTTTATTTTCTAAAGATGTACTCTGATAGTTCCAGTTATTCATTTTAAGTTAAACAGTTCTGCATGTGGTTTAGCAAACATGGCGGCAAACAGTTCTGAGACAACTTGAGATATTAATCATGCTGCCTGAATTTTAAGTTAATAGATGCATTCCTTTTTCACTCAGGCTTTCCCACTGAGGGACTTGCTCCAGCTGTTTGGCAGGGAGGGGAGACTGAAGCCTTAACTCGTCTGGATAAGCATTTGGAAAGAAAGGTAACCATCTCTATTTTTGTTTCAAAATTACCTTTCAGGGAAGGATTATGTTTTCTAAGTCATTGGTTGCCAACCTTTTCTTCACCATGGACTCCTTTTAAGTACCTTTTGTAGTCACAGACCATGGCCATTGACGCCCAAGACTTGACTTAAAATTTAAATCATAACATTTCTTCAAACCTTCACGGATCCCTTGTGATGGTATTGTGTACCCCAGACCGAGAACCACTGTTCCAAGTCATTTGACTTTAGAACAAGCTGCATTGCCTTATATTTTTGAGATGTAAATGTGTCATGTACTAATGAATATGCATAGAATTCTTTTGCTTTAATGGCTGAGATATATCGTAAGAGAAATATCGTAATCCAAAATAATATTTGTGCTTTCCTCCCCTCAAATCCTTTTTCCATAATGTTTCTATTATAGATATTTAACTGGAGTCTTATTATTATTATTATTATTATTATTATTATTATTATTATTATTATTATTATTATTATTATTATTATTATCATCTCTTTTATTCATTAAACATGAAACTCAGTCAACTGATCATTTAAAAATGTGTCACAAATACCGTTGACTGGTGCTAATGGTAGATACGGGTTGCTGCCAGCGTCCTACCATGTTTTCCCAAAAATAAGACCCTGTCTTATATTTTTTTGAACCCTAAAATAAGCACTTGGCCTTATTGCCATGTGCTCAAAAGCCCGATTGGGTATCAACCAAGTATTATTAATATTATCATTATTATTATCATTATTATTATTATTATTATTATTATTATTATTATTATTATTATTATTATTATTTGCAAATGCAAGCAAATGTAATTTGCAGGCAATGATTCTAATTCAGTATAAATCTTGCCACCTCCCTGAAAATTTGATTAAACTGTATATTACATCTGAGCAAGATTCAAGCTATGCCTCAGTATGTGGTAAAAGTAAAACCCAAGACTCTGGAGTATCCATTTGATGCCTTTATAAAGCTAATCTTTCATATACTTTTTTTCCTGGCAATTTAGCTCAACCTTTATTCTGTATTTAATTTGATCTTAGTTGGTTGTGTTGCAAGAAATTGTGTTCTATTAGATAACCATAGGGATTAATTTAGTTCTGTGATGAAACATGGGGCCTATATTAAAAAAAAATTGAGTCAGATATTGTATGCCAAATATTGCTACAGGCTCTGACATTATTTTTGAATTGCTAAAATGTCTTTCCTAGTTCCATGCATAAATATTTGAAGATATTTATAAGCTTGGTCGTAAAAGCAAGCAACATTTTTAATCAAGAAATACCGAATCCTCTTTATCAATTATATAAATTTCTTATATTTTTTTTTCTTTTTTGTTTCTTTATTTTCACTTCTATTTTATTCTGTCCTGATGTCTTCAAGGCATGGGTTGCAAACTATGAACGGCCAAGGATGAATGCCAATTCGTTATTGGCCAGCCCCACAGGGTTGAGTCCCTTTCTTCGGTTTGGCTGCTTGTCTTGTCGCTTATTCTATTATCGGCTTTGGGAACTTTACAAAAAGGTGAGGAAATGCGAATTGGAAAGAAGATTTGTGGACACATGGAAATGAAATGATTTGTAGAATATATTAATTCCCAATTTATTTCTACTTGTAACAATGCACACCTTCCAGGTATTATGTTCCTTAGATTTATTTCTACTTTACTATAATGTTGAGCCTTACCTGGGAGTATTCATATCTTTTAGACTGCTTTTAAGTTACAGTATATGATTGAGTTATAAGTAAAATAAAGAAATTACAAGTATGTGTACCAGGGGTGGGTTCTACTTACCTTTACTACCAGTTCACAATGGGAGCTTCTACGCATGCACAGATCGTCAATTATGACATCCGGGTGAGTGGGCAGTGCCTCCCGTCGCTTTTACTACCGGTTTTAAAGAACCGGACAGAACCGGGAGCAACCCACCAATGATGTGTACAAATGATGGAATGACAGCCAGTTTGGTCTAGTAGTTAAGTCAGCAGTCTAGAAAACGGGAGACTGTGAATTCTAGTTCCACTGTAGCCATGAAAGCTGGCTGGGTGGTCTTGGGGCCAGTCATTCACTCAGCCCAACTCACAGGATTGTTGTCACAGGAAAAATGAATGAATGAATGAATGAATGAATGCAACAAAACCACATTTAAAATTATATTCTTTTAAAATTATGTGTGTATTTTGTCCCTTTAGAAAATAAGGAAATATATACACAACAGCAACATAAAATCTAAAACAATGGATTTTAAATGCAATTAATTATTCAATTCATACTTTCTAGACATGCATTCATAGGATTACCTTTTGCATCAGATATTTTAAAGTGCTTTGCTTTTATTATTCTGAATGTCCTGCTTTCCAGTGGACAAAAAAACGATTTAAGCAAATATTCTTATCAGATTATCAAATATGTGGTAAAGAGTTCAGTGGCTTGCTGCCTCAAAATACTTGGCTCTCCAATTAAAAGGTTCCTAAAACTTTATTCCCTGGGTAGGTTTAATTTGGAACCAAAATTACCTCAGAATTGATTTGGTGACTGACAGAAATGCATCCAATATGACATGATCTTTTTTCCCTCTTTAGGTGAAGCGGAACAACACTCCACCTCTGTCGCTCTATGGCCAATTACTCTGGAGGGAATTTTTTTACACAGCTGCCACAAATAATCCTAAATTTGATCGCATGGAAGGCAATCCTATTTGCATCCAGATCCCATGGGACAGGAATCCTGAAGCTTTGGCAAAGTGGGCAGAAGGCAAGACAGGTTTCCCTTGGATTGATGCAATTATGACTCAACTGAGACAGGAAGGTTGGATTCACCACCTGGCCAGGCATGCGGTAGCCTGCTTTCTAACCAGAGGTGATCTTTGGATCAGCTGGGAATCTGGAGTGAGGGTGAGTCATGTCAGAAAGTGATAAAAAATACTGAAGGATGATGATGATGATGATTTAAGAAAGGATGGTTATATAGCCCATATGGAATTGAAACAGTTGTTCCCTTATAAAGGAAAAGTATTCTCTTCAAGAATCCTGTTGATAAAAAGTCTCTTTTAAGGAATGAAAGCGTGAATGAAAGATTTGAAAATAGTATCTTAGCAGAAATGATAGGAACATTTTCTGGGCAAATTCCCAGAAATCAAATTCAACTGGAATATAGTTTAGTGGCATTAGGCTTTTTTATATATAGTTTCTGTGTTTCTATAGATACTTAGTTCATGGTGTTAATATAGAAATAGCACTTAAGACTTATATAGGACTTCATTGTGCTTTACAGCCCTTTTTAACCAGTTTACAGAGTTAGCATATTGGCCCCAACAATCTGGGTCCTCATTTTACTGACCTCAGAAGGATGGAAGGCTGAGTCAACCTTGAGCCAGTGAGGATCGAACTCTTGGCTGTGGGCAGAGTTTGCCACAATACTGCATTCTAACTACTGTGCCACCATGGCTCTAATTACACACACACATATATATATAATATCCATTTTCCATTGCTGTGCGAACTCTGCCTAACTGGAGCCTAATACAGTAGCTTATTTTCAGGAATCAGGCTCTATCAGTTCCATGACTGAATTACTGCATCATGGTCTACCGTTGAAAATAGTCCACGAGTTGCAGAAATCAGCTGATCAATTAACTACTGGGGTAGTTAATTGTGAATGTTTACTACTGATGTATATGCTGCACTGTCCGGTTGTGTTGACATTAAGTCAATTAAGATGTAAGTAGTAGAGCAGTGCAGGGCTTCAGATTCAGTAACAAAAATATCCTTTGAAATGTGTGGGACACTAATGTATCTATCCGCAACTCCCTAAATATTTAAACACTTTAAACACATCATACTGCAATCCGAGCGATACAATCTTAGGGAAGGGACAAGTATTTTAAGGAGTTGCAAACAGACATTATGGTACATGAGTGCTTCTGAAGCATTTTGTGCCTTCAAATTCAAAGGATAGCATAGTCTTACTAAGAAGTTCAGAATATAGGTATTTAAAGGCCTGCTTCCCCACCCTGCACTAAGTTCAGCAGTAGAAGTGGGCCTAGCTTGCAGAATGGTGGATAGAAATGGGGCCTCAGTGATGGTGGCACCTGAGTTATGGATTTTTCTCCTAGAACAAGTTTAGTTGCCTCAGCTCATTCTATTCTGTCATTTAAAGACTTCTTTGTTCACCTCTCCTCTGTCCTATTCAAAATATCATTTCAATATATGTGTGCAAGGTAACAACTGCCCCAAGATCAGGCTGTTTTTTTTTAGACTGTCTTGAATCTAAATTTGTTATAAATATGCTTGTTATTTGCTATAAATAATGTTTTATTATTTTATGGAGGTTGGTTTAACACAGATTGTTTTTATCAAGAAATTTTATGGAAAATGTGTGTTAATACTTCGACAAGGCACACATTGCTCTTGGCTTCATTGGGAGGAGAGTAATATAAAAATAAAATATACAACATAAAATGCACAACAGTTAATTGGATTCATTCTCCAGGATCAGGGTCACTAAACATCAGAACTTTGTACAGCTGACAAGGCTTCCAAAACAGTTGACATAAGATCAACAACAAACATGATACATCCACGGTCTAAAATTCTGTTTCTTTCCCTCACATCAAAATTGTACCAGCCACTGAAGAGAGTATTTGATTCAGACCACTCAAGCTTCCCGTGAAAGTCTTCCCTCACATTTTCTCTCTTTCTCTTTCCACAGGTATTTGATGAGCTGCTTCTGGATGCAGATTTCAGTGTGAATGCAGGTAGCTGGATGTGGCTTTCCTGCAGTGCTTTCTTCCAGCAGTTTTTTCACTGCTACTGTCCTGTTGGGTTTGGGCGTCGTACAGATCCCAGTGGTGACTACATTAGGTGAGCATATGGGCTGAAGTCACCACAGCTTTTGTCACACTAAAGCCAAAATGAAAATTTACTCTTCCTTTTCCCTGTTATCCCCTTTTTTCCCCTTTGGTAGCACAGTTTTTGATTGTCAGTTCCCAAACAGGGGCTGTCTTGCATAAGTAGAGTAAAACATCTATTAAATAAGAATACAAGCTCATCTTTTTACATAATTGGGCTAGCTGGCATCATACATAAACTACTTACAATAATTAATGATAGTCCTTATTGATTTATTCTATAGGCGGTATCTACCCCAATTGAAAGGTTTTCCATCATGCTATATCTACGAGCCCTGGAATGCGCCTGTTTCGGTTCAAAAAGCAGCAAAATGTATAATTGGGGTAGACTATCCCAAACCCATGGTGAACCACGCAGAGACCAGTCGACTAAACATTGAACGCATGAAGCAGATTTATCAGCAGCTCTCACGCTACAGAGGCCTTTGTATGTATATTTAATAATTTGTAATAATTTATTACATTTGTATGTTGCTCAAGACTCATAAGCTCTGGGACACACACACACACACACACACAAAACTAGGTAATATCACTAGTGCTAAAAGGGAGTGGATTTTTTTTTATTTGATATCAACACCCTGATGAGCAGAGATTAACACCAAGATTAACACTGGACCAGCAAAAGAGCCTGGTGGCTCAGCAGACTGATAGCATTGTGATTAACACCAGCTGTCTGCAATTACTGTAAGTTCGAATCTCACCAGGCTCAAGGTTGACTCAGCCTTCCATCCTTTCTAAGGTAAGTAAATTGAGGACCCAGATTGTGGGGGCAATAAGCTGACTTTGTATAAATATACAAAAGTATGAAGGCTATTGCTTAACGCATTGTAAGCCGCCCTGAGTCCCCGGAGAAGGGCGGCATATAAATCAAATTTTAAAAAAAAAATCAAGAAGTAACAATGCCCACTCCCTGTTAGCACTGATGATGTTTACCTAGTTTGGTAATGAAACATCTGCAAGAAAGCAACTAAGCTCAGAGAGTACCAAGGACCCCAGAGTTCAACCTTGAGCTATAAATTTTGTCTTTCATTAATGTGTGAATGTACTTTAAGACACAGTGAAAATGTAGGCCTGCTCTTTAATAGAGATGTCCTTTTTTTTTTCAGGTTTATTGGCCTCTGTCCCATCCTGTATAGAAGACTTCAGTAATATAACCACAGACCTTCCTTCAGCCCATGGAAGCTGCAGCAATACAAGTGAGCAAGTGCTTTCCACAAATTATGCAACTTTTCAGTGGCATTAGACCACACTTTCACTTTTAATATAGCTTCAATAAACCTCTTGGAATGATTTGTGCATTCTAATAGTTGCTTAAAAGTGAAAGAGAAATAACATGGTACCACCTTCAGTGAGAAACTCTGAAGCAAAATGGTAAACAGAAATCTACAATTAAAGCACTTTCTCCCATATAGTTTGGGATATGTACCTTCTATCTAGCACGGTAAAAACTTGAAAGCCTAAATGACAACTTTTGAGATTCTAGAAGATGAGGAGAGGTCTAATGGCACCTCTTCTACTTGTCTTTTTACAGTATTAAGGCAGTCCCAGTGTACATCTCCAAAACGAAAATGTTATGCTGGGGAAGAAAACAGTGAAGAGCTCCACAAAAGAGCAAGGATGATGGTACATCAGGGATCAAAGAACCCACAACAAGAACTTTTGCAAGTGAGTAGCTATAGAAGCCTGAGCAGGGGGTTGGACTAGAAGACCTCCAAGGTACCTTCCAACTCTGTTATTCTGTTGTTCTGTGAATGTTAGATATTTGGGGTGTGCAATGACCCAGTCAAATAATTTGGATTTCTATTCCTTTACTGCTTTGGGACAACAGTGTAAAGATGATAAAGGGGACAGCCCAAAGGATTGAGGAGGAAGGTAAAATTTTGAGCCTCCTTAGTTTTTGGAATGTTGCTTTGAGAGAAAATAAGTGTATTACTTCATAAACAGAATTTAATGGCTCTGGTTTCTATGTTTGGGCTCAATTAAATTATCCATTCAAATTCTGCATTTTTCTGCAGAAATTCAGGCACATGGAAACTACAAAATGAGGCTTGAAGAGGAAAGTTTCACCTAGTCCACAGATTGCTACCTTTGCATTAGATTTACCCTCAGGGTTACGATGTAGGGTCTTTGAAAATTTGCAGGATTGTCGTCTTTCCACTATTAAATATTGAGTCTAAATTTATTTCTTTTCTTAGTACATTTATGTCTTGTGCAATCAGAATTGCTTGTCAGGAAGAAATACTTCTATTTCATTTTTCTAAAAACTCAATCAGAAGTGACAATTTTGTGAACAGTCTGAAGCACAAAATAATCAGAAAGAGCAAAGGCCTTATATATTGACCTTTTTTGTTTATTTGCAACATTCAGAGTCAACATTTTTCCTCCTGTTGAGAGCTGGCACAGGAATAGTTGTGACTGTTCTATTTTAGACATTACAAAGAATATAGAAAATATAAAGGGAAAATCTGAGGAACTATTGGTTTTTCTTAGATTACCTAACATCTGAATGTAAATTAATACCGATATCAACATAATACTAGAAGTTAAGAGAGTTGGTGTTCCATATAAAATATTGAAAAATATGACTTCTACTAGCATTTGAAAGTTTTTGTTTTGTGTTTCTTTAATTGCAGTTATTATTAAAAAATAGACACATTGTTATAGGTTAGTTGATTCAGCTGATATCCTTTTTCTTTTAGTCTACTAGCCTACTTGGGATGAGCATTTTTTGTAATGATCTGAAATTTTATTATTTAATTTTCATTATATACTACCGTATTTTCCGGCGTATAAGACGACTTTTTAACACATGAAAATCTTCTCAAAAGTCGGGGGTCGTCTTATACGCCGGGTGTTGTTCTCCTGTAACCAGGCAGACCAGCCCGAAAGGCTCTGACGAGCCTTAAATGGCTCTGGCGATCCCAGCTCTGACGATCCCAGCTGAGTTCCCTGCAATTCAGCTGGGATCACCAGAAACCATGTAAAAGGAAAAAAGTTTTTTCCCTTTTACTCTGACGATCCAAGCTCTGACGATCCCAGCTGAGTTCCCTGCAACTCAGCTGGGATCGCCAGAACCATGGCTCTGACGGTCCCAGCTCTGACAGTCGATCCCATCCCAGCTGAGTTCCCTGCAACTCAGCTGGGATAGCCAGAGCCATGTAAAAGATAAAAAGTTTTCCCCCTCCAGCTTGCTTACCTCAGCTGCTAGTCCCAACGCTTGCCTTGCTTCGCTTCCCTGAATCTATTCCATCAGCAATCAGCAATCAAGCAAGCAGGGAGTTGAAGTCTACAAGTCTTAAAGTTGCCAAGGTTAGAGACCCCTGTTCTATTGGGTAAGTTTTTTCCCCCTTTGGGAGCTTTAAAAAAAATAGTCAATTGGGGTTTTTTTAGTTGTTCTTTTTTAGACCTAGCCATTTAAAGTTTAGGAAGTTTTAAATTTAGCTTTCATATAAAAATAAAAATAAAATAAAATAAAATAATATTTGTGCAGCTTTCTGAGATTTAGTGTGTTTCTGTAGTGTTTCACTCTAACTACACAAACACACAAAATCTCACAAAGCTGTATGTGGAATTTTGTGTGTGTCAAGTGTGAAAGTTGGTTTTTTGGACTTTTTGTGGCTGTGTGAGGTTCCTGCTTGTTGCAGGGGCCATTTTGGGTCTAGCACAGCTGCTTTTACATTGTGGGTGAGCCAGTTGTGTTGTGTTGTGTGTGTTTAGAGTGTGAAAGTTTTTTGGGGGGCTTTTTGTGGCTGTGTGAGGTTCCTGCTTGTTGCAGGGGCCATTTTGGACTAGCACAGCTGCTTTTACATTGTGGGTGAGCCAGTTGTGTTGTGTTGTGTGTGTTTAGAGTGTGAAAGTTTTTGGGGGGGCTTTTTGTGGCTGTGTGAGGTTCCTGCTTGTTGCAGGAGCCATTTTGGGTCTAGCACAGCTGCTTTTACATTGTGGGTGAGCCAGTTGATGTTTTTTAATTTTTATTTGGTGTGCATTGGAAGAGGGGTAGTCTTATATGGCGAGTATAGCCCAAACCCTATATTTTAACAGGAAAAGTTGGGGGTCGTCTTATACGCCCAGTCGTCTTATACGCCAGAAAATACGGTATCTCATTTTGAAAATGTCAATTATAGCCACTTTGATCATTAAAACAATAACTTTATTTATATTTCATATTTCTAAACCACCTATCTTCCTCAGGGCTCTATTGCCTTTTTAATAATAGCATGGATACTGAGACAAACCTTAAACTTTCTTAAGGTTATCCTTTCAGGACCCCTTCCCATTTTTAAAGATTATGGAGGACTATAAAAGAGCTTTTGTTTATATGGGTTATGTTTTTGAATATTTACAATATTAAAAATTGGATTCAGTGCTGCTGCCACTGCTTCTCATAATTGTTTGGTGGGATTTTAATATTGTATTGTAACATAGGCTGGCAAATAATTTTGATTTCATGGACTCTTGAGAGGATCTTGGGAGACCCTTAGGGGGTCCTTGAACACCACTTTAAGAAACATTGGCTCAGGAATTCTGGGAGTTGAAGTTCACAAGTCATAAAGGGGCCATAGAGCCGAGGTGGCGCAGTGGTTAGGGTGCAGTACTGCAGCTACTTCAGCTGACTGGTAGTTCAGCAGATCAGCGGATCAAATCTCACCGGCTCAAGGTTGACTCAGCCTTCCATCCTTCCGAGGTGGGTAAAATGAGGACCCAGATTGTTAGGGGGCAATATGCTATTTAGTATGCTGTCTTTGGTGTGAGCTGCCCAGAGTCCTTGGAGAGAGGGTGGCATAGAAATATGACTAATAAATAATAATAAACAAATAGTGCCCCACCTCTGGTTTAGGTGATTCCTTTTGTTTTAAAAATATTTGTTAGAAATCTTGACAAGTTGGGACTTAAAAGGAGTCTGCAGAAGGCACCTCTGTTTCAGATTTGGTTCTTTGATGCCAATATATTTCTGTTGAGAGTTAGTTTCTGATTTTCCTTTCTTGAAGCAGAAATATGATTATATACTAGCAGCGTAGTCTTTACCTTTTGATTGCCAAATAAAGCATTCATTCATTCAGAGAATGTAAATATTGCCTTCCTCTAAGGATCTCAAAAGGGTTTACATGGAGCTTACTTTGTTTTATCCTTACAGTGATATTACATGTATAAATTGGGCAGAGAATCAGTGATTTGACAAAGATATTCTACAAATATTTTTGAAGGATGCATAGGACATCCTTTCTTTGTGTTCTCTTATTTTTAAACATTCTTGTTGTTTTTCCTTCTTTTGTAATCTTTCTACGCAGTCACATTTTCTTTTCCTTCTTGTTTTCCTTTTTAAAATGGGAGAGGGGAATGGATACTATCTTAGATTATTGTGCTATAATTTAGAATAAATATTACATTTTTCTCCTAGGGAATGCTTTCATTGCTCCTTCTCCCTGAGATTTTGGAATGTTTTCAGTGATTCTATACTTTTAGCAGCCTTGACATGCTCATCCTTACAAAATTGCTGTGGTTTTATTGCCCTCTACTGCAAGGATTGAATATTGTTATTGTTATTTATTCATTTCTTGCTTTTCTGGGTTTTGCCACATCATGTTTCTCATTATACATTCTTTATAATTGTCTTCAGAAACTCTCTTTGCCATTAGGCTCCTTATTTAGCTCCAGCTTTCTTTCTTATCTCCTACTTTTCAGATTTCCAATAAATAACTTCTTGGTTGCATTAGACTGTTAATCACTGCTTTGTGACATCCATATTACTAAAAGTCTGTAGAGAGTCTCAGTCATCCAGGTCATGGTTGTCCCAAAGGTGCTTTTTCTGGAGGCAACTGGACTTACTTGTTTTTCTTATGAAAACGTTTTGCTTCTCATCCAAGAAGCTTCTTCAGCTCTGAAAGGATAGTGGGGAATGGAAGGATTTATATTCCTTGCAGAAAGCTGGTAATTTGCATCCTTTTAGAGGGTCATTGAAGCACTTGGAGGTTTATCTGTGTCCTCAGGGTCATCTGAGTAGTGCTCCTGGTTCCTGTAGTCTGCATTTTTTCCTCTGGAAATCTTTCCTTTTTTTTTTCTTTTGAAGACTAGAAGAATATAAATCGTTCCATTTCCCACTATCCTGTCAGAGCTGAAGAAGCTTCTTGGATGAGAAGCAAAACGTCTTCAAAAGAAAAAACAACCATAACATAGGATAGGATAGGATAGGATAGGATAGGATAGGATAATAGGATAGGATAGGATAGGATAGGATAGGATAGGATAGGATAGGATAGGATAGGATTTTTTATTGGCCAAGTGTGATTGGACACACAAGGAATGTCTTGGTGCATATGCTCTCAATGTACATAAAAGAAAAGATATGTTCATTAAGAATCAGAAGGTACAACATTTAATGACAGTCATAGGGTACAAATAAGCAATCAGGAAACAATATCAATATAAATCATAAGGATGCAAGCAACAAAATTACTGTCATAAGTAGAAGGAGATAGGTGGTGGGAACGATGAGAAGATTAATAGTAGTGCAGACTTAGTAATAGTTCCCTCTTAGTAAACAGAGGGAATTATTTGTTTAGCAGAGTGATGGCATTCAGGAAAAAACTGTTCTTGTGTCTAGTTGTTCTGGTGTGCAGTGCTCTATAGTGTTGTTTTGAGGGTAGGAGTTGAAACAATTTATGTCCAGGAATGTGAGGGGTCTGTAAATATTTTCACAGCCCTCTTTTTGACTCTTGCAGTATACAGGTCCTCAATGGAAGACAAGTTGGTAGTAATTGTTTTTTCTGCAGTTCTAATTATCCTCTGAAGTCTGTGTCTGTCTTGTTGGGTTGCAGAACCAAACTAGACAGTTATAGAGGTGTAGATGACAGACTCAATAATTTCTCTCTAGAACTGAATCAGCAGCTCCTTGGGCAGTTTGAGCTTTCTGAGTTGGCGCAGAAGGAACGTTCTTTGTTGAGCTTTTTTGATGATGTTTTGATGACTGAGAATCTCTACAGACTTTAAGCTATACAACACCCTTTGAATGGTGTGGGAGTAGGAGTGGATTTCCAGAGGAAAAAATTGCAAACTACAGGAACCAGGAGCACTACTCAGGTGATCCTGAGGACACAGATAAACCTCCAAGTGCTTCAACGACCCTCTAAAGGATGCAAATTATCAGCTGTCTGCAAGGAATATAAATCCTTCCATTCCCCACTATTCTGTCAGAGTTGAAGAAGCTTCTTGGATGAGAAGCGAAATGTCTTCAAAAGAAAAAAACGAGAAAGTATAGTTGCCTCCTGAAAAAGTACCTTTGGGACATCCATATTACTACTTCCTCTTTGTACATCTTAAAATCTCTGCCAAATATTTTAACTTTCATCTCGTCTTCTTTTCTGTTTTGACTTATATAGAATGTACATTTGTGGATAGGGCTGTTTATTTTTACATATTTGAAACTTTTCAAAATAGAGAGGATGCTCGTTATTCATGGTAGAGGTAGCCCTCGCTTAATAAGGGTAATTGAGACCGGCAATTCCATTGCTAAATGGATGTGGTTGTAAAACATAATGTCATGGGAAGTATCTGTTGCTATTGATAGGAGAATTTCACACAGTCACAGCATCCTCTGATCATGTGATTGGCATTTACGACCTCCTGCCAGCTTCTCCATATTGACCTTGCTTGTTGGAATTAGGGTCATAAATAGTAATCATGTGACCATGGGACATTGTAACATTGTAATAGTGAGCCAGTTGCCAACCGCTCAAATCACAATCATGTGACCTCTTGCAATGGATGCAACTATGAAGAATGGTCATAAATCCTCCCATTCAGGTCTGTGGTAATTTCAAACGATTGCTGAATGAGGACTATACCTGGAGTTGTGTTTTATAAAGTCATTGCAAACACTGAATTAGTGAATATTGAAACCTCACTTGGGAACTTGTGCATTGGATGACTCATTTGTTTGACCACTCTGCATAGTCACAAATGAAAGCGCTGCAGGTACCCTATTGATTTTATAGTAACAAATATATTTAGTGAGTAGCAAATTTGCAAATATATAATCCTCAAATAAAGAGAATTGACTGCAGGTACAGTCAATTCTACATAGTTTTCAGCTGGTGAGTCCTTTCCATAAATGAACAAACTCATTTGGATCACAGTTTTTATCTATTATTTATCAGATAGTGATAAATATATGTAGATAAAGATGTTTTCATTGTATTCTCTGCTTACATTCTCAGCTTGTGAGCAAACTGCTAAATAACCTTGGATTTCTCATTTCTTTTCAGACTGAATTTGGAAACTGACAAGACAAAAATAATGTCACAGAATGGCTAATGGAGTAATAGGGAAGTATTTTTGTATGAAGAATCACAACACTGAACAGCAATTTCATTTGTTGAGCATGTTGAATGCACAATACACAAGGACTCTAAATCTCTTATGAAAGAGGCAGTGAAAAAGTTTGGTCAATAAACAAAATCTCAGTGAACAAATACGTGCCTTTCTTGAGATTAGGGAATTAGTTTAAGGAAAATCTGGAGCTAAGACTTGCTCATTTGCAAGTTTATTCAAGGTACTGCAGATGGTATATCCTTTTTTGCTTCATTTAGCACATCCTTACTTCTTCTGTTGTCATTATTAGGAAGAACTTGGATGAACCGTGCAAAATATTTCATGGTGCTCCTAGTAATTCCATTTAAACACTCCATGCAACCACTAAACATGTGTACAGATGATATTATAGATGGAATCACATCTGCAAAAATATCATTAAACCAGTATTTATTGCTTCTATAAAAGCACAGTACTGGAACAACAGTGACCAATTTGAAGGTACTAAAAATACTAAATTGAATGTTTACTAGTGTGTTTATCTTCCAATCATGTTATTCTGAAACAAAAAAGATATATTGAACACCTATAGCCATGTGAAAAAGAAAGTATATTTGCTTTGAGTTCTATGGTTTTATGCGTCAGGACATAGTAAAAATCACCTGGTCCTTAGCAGTTCTTAAAAGTAAGTAAATACTACCTCAGATGAACAACAACACATGACATATTACCACCATGTCATCATTTATTTTACAAAAAAGAAAGCCCAAATGAAGAAGCCATGTGTGAAAAACTTAAGTGCACCTTATGATTCAATAGCTTGTAGAACCACCTTTAACAGCAATATCAGTCTCACATCGTTGTTAGAAGAATTTTGGCCCGCTCTTCTTTACAACATTGCTTCAGTTCATTGAGGTTTGTGGGGATTTCTTTATGCACAGCTCTCATGAGGTCCCGCCACAGCATTTCAATCAAGCTGAGGTCTGAACTTTGATTAGGCCACTGCAACACCTTGATCCTTTTCTTTTACAGCCAATATGTTGTAGATTTGCTGGTGAGCTTGGGATCATTGTCCTGTTGCATGATCCAATGTCAGCCAAGCTTTAGCTATTGGACAGATGACCTCACATTTGATTCTGGAGTACTTTGGTATGTGGAGGACTTGATAGTCGACTCAATGACTGCAAAGTGCCTGAAACTTGTGGCTGCAAAAGAAGCCCAAATCATCACGCCTCCACTACTCTACTTAACAGTTGATACTAGATGTTTGTGCTGATATGCTTTACCAACTTTTAAGAACTGCTAAGAACCGGATTATTTTTACTATATCCTGATGGGTAAAACAATATAATTCAAAGAGGGTGTACAAGTAGTCCTTGATTTACGACCACAATCTCATTTAACAGTAGAAATTTGGGGTCAATTGTGGTTGTAAGTCGACTCAAATAAGCTAGTTTTGCCCCATTTTACAAATTACTTGTAACAGTTGTTAATGAATCTGGTTTCCCCATTGACTTTGTTTGTCAGAAGGTTACAAAAGGTGATTGCCTGACCCTGGGATACTGTGTCTGTCATAAATATGAGTCAGTTGCCAACCGTCCGAATTTTGATCATGTGACCATGAGGATGCTGCAGCGGTCATAAGTCTGGAAAATAAGTCATTTTGTTTTTCACTGCCATTGTAACTTTGAACGGTCACTAAGTGGACTGTTGTAAATCGAGGACTACCTGTACTTTCTTTTTCACCACTGTAATTTTGCTATGAAAAGAACAATAGATTTCAAAAACATAAAAAATAATATTAGTCACAGTATTCTAATTATATATACAATCTTGGCTTTAAATATATTCTAAACCATGTTTCTACCTCTTGTGGTTGAAAAAACAACTATTTGAAAGCAAAAGCAGGTCATTTGCTGAGTAAGATTTCTTGAGATCAAAATGTATGGCTTCACTGGCTTGTGTAGTTTCTTGTCTTCCTCCATAACTTTTCGGAATTGAATAAATTGTGAACTCCTCTATCCTAAGTGAACTTCTTCAAAGTTCTGTTTGGCTTTGGAAGAGTTTTTTGACCTCTGGAATTCTGCCATAAAATTCCTCTTTCTCTTTAAGAAGTTTGTGGCATGGATTGACCCAATTTGATGGTGATTTGCATGGAATTACTGTGATGTTGGGAAACTGAAAGGTCTTTATTTTGATTTTGTCACCATTTCTCATTGCGAATAAATTGCTTATGAAGGCCTATATGCCATACGCAATGTTTCTCAACCTTGGCTGCTTTAAGATGCGTGGACTTCAACTCCCAGAATTCCCCAGCCAGCCCCAACTTCCCTTTGTTGGACAGAAACATCATAATTCCTTCAAAAATTCTGCATATTTATTTTTAGTGTAGCCTTAGCAGGATTGCTGCCTCCTACAGCATCTCAGTATCTTTATCCTTGAAAATATGAAATTGGTTCACGGATCTGGAGCCATGTCAGTAGTATCCTCCATTTCAATCTCGTTAGCAGAGAGCTTCTAAGGGACTTAGCCATCAAAATTGGGAGTTTTGGGTCACTAGACATTGCAGTGGAAGAGTTAAAGGATACATTTGATATCAACTGAAACCTTACATACATAAGAAGAGTTCCTCTTTCTAATATCCAATGCATAATTAAAGAAGGAAGGGAATTCCAAAAAGGCATTAATTTTTATTGTATTGATTATACTACTGCTTTTGACTGTGTAGAATACAGCACAAGATGCATACCCCTTTAAAACTGGTATATTGAGGCATCCCATCTCCCTATTGAAGAATCTGTATGATAACCAAGAAGCAGCAACTAAAATATAGAGCAACAAAATGTTTCAAAATTGAGAAAGTGTACCAAGGTTGTAAACCTTGTCACCTTAATTGGATTAATTTGATAATTCCTCTTTGATTATTGAAGATGAAAGGAGAATGGAAAAGCCAATCGGCTACTGAATATTAAACAAAAACAAAAATTTTAAGAATATATCAGGTAATGCTGACCCAATGCCAATACTGTAGAGAAGAAATTGAGAGAGTAACCAAGTTTTTTCCCTAGGCTCAAAAATTCAGAGAGATAGTGACTGTTGCCATGAAATAAGTAGCTGCTACTTGGGAGAATGTCTAACAGGTTGACATAATTTTTGACATGCAGAGATATCAGTTTTCATACATTTGTGAAAGGTGGACTATTAGAAAGACTGAATGAAGAAAAATGTACTGTGCTGGAGAAAATAGTTGATTTGGTTTGCCAGAAATAAAATCATGCTAGATGAAGTAAAATCTGCTCATTGAAAATACTAATAATGACACTAAAACATAATATTGTGAATACAGAATGTAAAGGCAAGAATAATTGGAGAAGACCCTTATGCTTGGAAAAATCAAAGGCAATAATCAATAATCAAAGGCACCATGACCCAAAAATATATAATGATGCAAACAAGAGTTTACAAAAACTCAAAGTTACTGTAGACAATTCTGACAAAATTGAGTCCATCAGGTCAGAGACACAAGTGATTGAACAACATCAACAATTTTACAAACCATTTTAATACTATGTATCCAGTATAATCCTTGGATAAAATTGCATAGGTCAAAATATCTCATCTGACCTCATGTTGCTATTATTAATTGCTAAACTATCATTTCTGACTTTCATAGAGGATAATTAATCTGCATTATTTGATGCCCTGTCTCCTGAAAATATATTCCTGTTTCTTACAACTACTTGGAAGGAGATGCATGTTCTACAATATAAATTTAAATTTTCAGTTTCAGCTCAAAATGTTTTGTCGCTTTTTACAGATGTTGTACAGTAACTATATTATACATGTTTTATTCTCTACAATGAATTCAATGGATGAATCAATGTTGTTTTGTATTTATTGTCAATAAACTGTACCAAACTGAGGGACCCCTAGTAACTTCTTACAAAATCCTTAATCCTTCCAAAATTGGGCCAGTTGTCCGGCTGTGGGAATTTAAGGCATAAGAGGCTTAAGAAGGATCCTTTTTGTCCTTTAAATTCGCCCAATCTCTAATGTTGTTGCTTAGTCAAGTGACATCACAATCAGTACCTGTGCCCCACTGGTCTCCATGAAGGCCAAAAAATATTCCTAATCTCTAAATTACTCAAAGGTTATCACAAACATGATGGCTTACATCATTGTTTCTCAACCTTGACAACTTAATATATGTAGGCTTCAACTCCCAGAATCCCCCTGCCATCATGCTGACTGGAGAATTCTGGGAGTTGAAGCCCACACATCTTACAGTTGCCAAGATTGAGAAACACAAACTTAAAGAATACAGGAGGAACAGTGATGGGTTGCTCCCGGTTCGGTCCGGTTCTTGCGAACTGGTAGTAATGGCAGCGGGAGACTCTGCCCACCCACCTGGATGCCATCATGAATGATCTGCACATGTGCAGAAGCGTGCTCCTGTTGCGAACCGGAGGTAAGTAGTAGAACCCACCCCTGAGGAGGAAGTATCTCAAATGGAATTTGTATTTGAGCTGAAATTTGAACTGTGGGAAATGAAAGAAATGGATAACTGAGAACACAATATAGCTACGCAAAAATGCTTTTCACTGCTAGAAGTAGCTTGAATAACCGGTTTTAAAAATACTCTGAAATTAAAGATTGTTTTGTCTTGACTAATCACTTTGTTTCTGCCCAAGCCTTCGTCATATCCATCATCCAACTTTGTTTCCCATCTTTTGAACAGTGCTAAATTCTTCAGATTATACCATGCAATTAAGTTGCTTCGCAGCTGCTATGGTGAGCTAAAATTTTGAAGAATGCCCAAACTCTTATACTTTCAGAGCAAATTTTAAAAATAGCTGAAAGCTTGGATTATTTTTTACGTTCTTACTGCATTTATCTTTTTACCACAGAATTTATTAATGGAATCCCAGAATTATTATTTTTAAGTCAAGAGTAACAACCTTTCTTGACTGTCTTGAAATAATCAGGAATGGAGCAAATATTTGCAAAGAAATTGTCATGAGCAACCAAGGCTTTGGAGTAATTTTCAATGATTTTTGAAATTGCTTGCTGGGTTCATACAAGTCAAAGACTAATGACTTGAAACTTCATAAGCTTTAAATTGTTGGTACCGGTACTTCCAGTAAGTAAATCAGCTAGTCAGAAGTTAAAACATATGTTCCAGGAGAAGGTAATACGTTAAATAAAAGTTGAAATATTAATATATGAAATGGTAGATGGCCCAATATGGCACACAGGAGCATAAATGTAGCCAGAGACACATCCTTTGGTGCCTGATAAATTCACTCATCTGACTTTGAACATTTAAAAATCTTTTAAATTAAGAAAAATGGAGAGCTGGCTACAAAGATTCAGTGTCCAGTGGTACAGGTAGTCCTTGACTTACAACAGTTCATTTAGTGACCATTCGAAGTTACAATGGCAATGAAAAGAGTGACTCATGACCATTTTTCACACAATTGTTGCAGCATCCCCATGGTCACATGATCAAAATCCAGACACTTGGCAACTGACTCTTATTCATGATGTTTGCTGTGTTCTGGGGACATGTGGTCACCTTTTGCAACTTTCTTACAAACAATGTCAATGGGGAAGCCAGGTTCACTTTAAAACTATGTTACTAACAACAATTGCAATGATTCACTTAACAACTGGGGCAAGGAAGGTCGTAAAATGGGGCAAAATTCATTTAACAAATGTTTCATTTAGCAACAAAAAATTTGGGCTCAATTGTGATCATAAGTTGAGAACTACCTGTAGTTTTATTTCCAAGAATGCTTCTGAGCCATGTAACCTTTCTTAAACAATGAAAATGATGAGTGGGTGTAGTTTAGTATATTGTTGGAATTGTGCCCACATGCCTAGACAAAGAACAAAGGTGAAAAGAAGAATCCAGTGCTAGGAGATGGTAAATTACTATTAGGTTCGCTATGGCTTCCATTTCGTGAATGAGTAAATATTGTCCAGCAAGGGCAATTCACATGTTCTTAAAATGTCAAATGAGTCCAGAAGCCTCAAATGATGAGAGCACTGTTACATTGATATTAAAACCATAGGATTTGTGCAAAAAGAAATTAAAAACTGCATTAGCACTTCAGATACTTTCTATGATTTTCAGAATAGGTTTAGCCTGAAATAAAAGAAATACATTTAGTGTAGCTTTTAGATACTAAGATCATTTGCAGGAGACTCTGGGAGAAATGGGTTATATTAACCACTTGGGAAACTCGTAATAATATTAGCATCTGTCACACAATACTATATACTTAACTGTTGATAAGAAAGACAAAAAGTCTGCACAGAGAACATTATAATACCTGGAGACAGCAAAAGAGAAGAGGAAAAACTGGAAAAAATCACAAAATACAAAGACCTGCACATAGAAGTAGAATGACTCTAGCAAAAGAAAGTGAAGATAGTATTAACAGTAATAGGTGCCTTGGATGGAATTCCAAAACATTTGGAATTGAACTTGAACATCATCGGCATTGACAAAATCTCCTTCAATCAATTGCAAAGACGCAGCCTTACTTGGAATATTTCACATTCTGTGATACCTTTAAGACTATCAACAGCATCTGCCTATCCCAGTCCCTGAGAAGGACTCAATAAGTGGATAAAAATGCCAAATCCAGTCTAAACATCTGACTTCCTGAAAGAACCCAATTAAAGACATTAGTCAAAAATTATACTTGTTCATTTATTTATTGAGGCATAGGCAGTAAAGGTAAGATTAGAACTGGCAACAGGGATGGCACTTTCTATGCTGCTATAGTTTTCTGCCAATTTAAAGATGGGTATAGACAATATCAGGGACACAGTGGCTCAGTGGCTAATCAATTGAAAGGTCGGCAGTTCAGCAGTTCGAATCCCTGGTGCCGCGTAACGGGGTGAGCTCCCATTACTTGTCCCAGCTTCTGCCAACTTAGCAGTTCGAAAGCACGTAAAAAATGCAAGTAGAAAAATAGGGACCACCTTTGGTGGGAAGGTAACAGCATTTCATGCACCTTTGGCGTTTAGTCATTCCAGTCACATGACCACGGAGAAATCTCCAGACAGTGCTGTCTCTTCAGCTTTGAAACGGAGATGAGCACCGCCCCCTAGAGTTGGGAATGACTAGCACATTTGTGCGAGGGGAACCTTTACATTTACCTTTATAGACAGTATCAATCCAGCAATGGAAAAAAATCATTGGTACATCAATGATCCTTCTGGTCAATTAGAACCATATAGAATGCAACACTGAGATGGTAGAGTCAACTTTCTGATTTACCCAGATCATAAAGATATGGGTGATCTGGGGCTGAACTCCAATTCTTTGCTTAATCTCAGCCTCGTGGTGTAATTAAAAGGTTGTGGTGTGGTCAATGTAGGATAGTAGAGTGTTGTGTGTTGCCTTGATAAGAGGGCTGGATCATGGTATAGTGGATTAAGGTGCTAGACTACACTGGAAAGAGCCAGGTTCAAACTTTGGACCCGTCCTTCTTTCAGAAGACTGAGGCAAAACCTGGAGGAGGAAGCATTTGTACACCGCCTTGAGCTTCTAAAAGACCAGTGAGATCTATATCTAAAAAATAAATAGATGTTAGAGATGATATTCCCTATTTCCTTCTTGCTGCATGTTTGCACATCGGCCTTTTCTCCCCTGTACTAATTTGGTAAATTTCATGGAAGCAGAGCTGTGTCTTTTTAGGGGGAGGCAAGCACAGGTGATTTCCTTCTTACTGTTGATTCAAGGTTGGTCTGTGCTGTTGGATGGTGACGATGACTTGATCATAGGCATTTATTATACACTTGCTATTAGCATTGGAAGCTTTTGATTTGTTTATTAAATTTATATACCACCATCTCACTCTGAAAAGCGACTCTTGGGCAGCATACAATTAAAACAATTTATTTTAAGGCCTCTTCCCTGCCACCACTACCACCACCGTCACCACTGCTAGGGGTCTCCTCTCACTTTGCTTGGGTCTTCACCCCACTTGCCTCGCGCAATTCTCCTCCACCTGTTTCTCTGACACGGATTCCTCCTCTCCTCACCCACCCACTCACCCTCGCCAGCCATTCAGGCCCCACCGCAGCTTCCCACCTTTCTGCCTCTCCTTCACAGGTACTTCTTCTCTACTCTCTTCACACACACCCGCCCCCAACCTTGCAGACTACCCGCTTGGCCGAGGTTTGGGGGCGGGGGGGGGGAAGCAATAGCTTCACCTGCTCTTGGCAAGAGGAAGGAGAGAGGGGGGGGAGGACGGGGCTGCTGTGTTCCAGCCTGGCAGTGGGGGCGACCTTCCGTCTTGTTGCAGTTGCTCGTGGTCACCACTGCCTGCCCCTCTCCGTCCCCCCCCCCACGCTCTCCCGCCCTCCCGCTCCGAACCGTTGTTGACCCTCTTCCCTCCCACCCCATTTCTCGCCACCGCGCCAGCACCGCCACCATCCGCGCCCGCTCCGGTAACTAATCGCCGTCTGGCTGCGAACACTCCCTTCGCCCTGCCCGCCTACCGGCCTGCCAGCCAGCATCAGCATCCTCCCCCTCCGCCTCTCTTCCTCCCCCCCCCACCCCCCCCCCCCCCGTTTTCCTTGAGAGGGGGGATTGGCGGAGAGAGAGAAAGGAGCCACGTCCCCGACCGGATCCTCCCCGTTCTTGGGGCTGCACCTCGCCTCGCCCCCCAGTTTCAGGTACTGGAGTCGTCGTCCCCCCCCCATCTCAGCCATCCCCGGGGGAGCCTTTGGGAAAGGAGATGCTGTAGAGGCAGGAAAGGTGGGAAGTGGGGTGGGGGAGGAAGGAAGCAACAGCCTCTACTCTGCCATCTCTTTTCTAACCCGTTTTTTCCATGATTTACCTTCCCCCCCCCCCGGGCATCCTGTCCCCCTTCATTCTGTGGGGCTGCTGAGAGAGAGGGG